ATTTAAAAAAAACGCTTTTTATATCTGTCAACATAAAAAACACCTTCACAACTTTTTAGTGCTAGACAAGTTCCACAACGTTAGAGCTCAAAAGTATATATTTTTGCATGCTTTATAAATATAAATAATATTTGTGCAGAAAGTGCCAGTGTCTCTGGCCGAGCAGAGAATATATACTCATTAAATTAAAATACGACCGGATGTTTTGTGCGAAAAAAACGCGCAGAGCCAACGATTTTATAATGCAAACAAAACAAAATAAAAAATAAAATCGAGCGCTTTGCTGGCTGTGCAAACAGCAAAACATCATCATCATGACGGTGGCAACGACGACTACGAGTAAGAGTACGAGGCCCCCGGAGGCATTCAGAATTCAGAATTCTGAATTCTGAAATCAGACGTAATGTCTTCATTTTGCTCCAGAATTGTGCAGCGTGTGCAGCTTTTATGATTCGAATAAATGAAGAGGGCGTTGTGGGTGAGTCCAAAGCTCGCTAAATTCGGTGACAGTACGGCGGGGAGATAAAGAACGGACGGATGCTGCGCAGTTTGCGGATTTTATACTATCACCTTTTTGGTGCCCGTGCCTGGACACTGAATGCTGGAGCACTTTCCCACCGTACAGCTGAACTGAACAGGCCATAGAGACACCCACAAAAAAGGGCAGCTGGCGGGCAACGAATTAAAGAAAATACTCGGCAATTACCGCAGCTCAGCAGACTTGGCATACAATACCATATAGTATAGTATACCATACTATACCATACCATACATATATAGACAGGCTACTAAAAATGGTCTGGCACAAAGACAGGCGCACACGCGTAAAAATGCCCAGACAACCAAATTTAGTAACACGCAAACGGAGGCAACAAAAACCGAAGCGTAATGAAATCAAATAAAAAGAGCAAGAGCAACACCGCTTACTTTGGTCTCAAGATTTTCTTCAAAGAGTTTTCTCCACATTTCTCACAGCTCCATGTCTGCTACACTCGCTTTGTCTATATATAGTGGGCTACCGCTCGTTGTTGGCCAGGGAAAACCTCAAGTGTCCGAAGTGAAGAGGCTTTGATTAGTTTCAGTCGCAGACAAAGACGAAGACTTGGCCCCAATTTTGTACGGAAGATAGGGGGTATCTGCCTATCTGTATCTGTGTGTCTCTCAAGATTGTCGCACGTTTTTCCCGTTCTACATTTAGTGTTTTTTACAGCCCTCTGCCCCTGCAATTATCTAATCAATAGGTTTGCACTGTCTTCGATCGCGGTATCTACAGAGGAAAATGTTTATATTTGTTGATATTTGTTCAGATCGTTTGGGGTAAATATTTGGCCGGGCAAGTGCCTGGTGGTAAAAACTTGAACTAATCAAAGGGTTTACCTTTGGATTCATAAAAACTTTGCAAGCAGGAAATTGGTCATAAGGATAAGTTACTATCAGTAAATATTAATTTAAAAAACTAAGAGTTTACTGAAAGAGTTCTCAACAGCTATATTAAATATGTTGATTAAATATAAATCTTCTATTCTTGTTATAAAAAACTATTATCCATTTAAGTACAAAAAAGTAAGGAATTACCTTTACAGTTTCGAAAGGGAGACTTAAGCAATTTTAATGATAAATTTGACCCATTACAAGCTCCCCAAAATATGCGGAATTAAGCGGGCTTAAGACCATCTATCGATCATCATCCTATACAATACGTTCGATTTCGCACCTATCGATCAGCACTTTGATGAAGCCTGAACATCCTAAGCATGATGCGGGCCATTAAATCATTATCTGGGGGCTACCTTCCGATCTTGTGGCTCAATTTTCACACACCAATCAGCAGAGAGCGCTAATTTCCTCTGCCCACCGATGTGCCACCATTTTGAATCCGATTTGCATGCATAATCATCGATCGGCTAATTCGCATATTGATAAGCCCGAGTTCTGTTTCCACCGAGAAAGGTTAAAGCCGGGGATTTGAGGGAAAAACCCACGCCGTCCGAAACCATCTCTCGGGTCTCGAGGGCTTTCACTCTGAACTCATTTTCGGACAGCTTACAGACAACCAACAAATTTATGACCAAATGCAGATTTCGTTGCTTGTTTTTGTTTAATTTTTCAGTGTTCAGTCGGTTTTTTTGTCGGTCGTCCGTTGTCGACTCCCTCACAATTTATTAGATAACGCTCTCGGCCTCGGGTATTGTCTTCTTATAAAAACGACAAAATGTCGACGTTGTCGCCTGTCCGTTGGCGATGATGATATGATAATACACCCATTGATACATGTGTACACAATGGTCCCCAGAGTTCCAGCCACACATATGTTTATGCTACACGCATATAGTCGTCATGATCAACGTGTGTATCTTCCGATGATCATTAAGAACGACATCGACAATCAGTTTTCGTTGTTTATATAATTATCGTATCTGTGCATTCGAGTATACCTACTTCAGTATTAGCATTTTACTTCACAAAATGCTTGGGCTGCATTTTTGTTTGACTTAGTTTTTAGTGACTATTGGCTCTCAGCCGTCGATTCGTATTCGTATTTTCGATTTAAACATTTAAATTGGTAATTTTGTAATGCCTTATTCACTCGACAACGACTTGTTGTTGTCGCCCACAGCTTTTTGTCATGCCTTTTTTGCTTTTTGATTTTTGTTTTTCTTTACGAAAGCGTTTTGGTTCGCCCAAATGGTTTTTTCAGTCTTGTGTTTTGTATTTCTATTTCTCTTGTTTATTACCTTTGCCAAACGAATAAAAATATACCACCATACACAATATTATTGTGAATAAGCTGACTGTTGCATCTGTTCAAGTGTTTTTTCTTCCCGCTGTCGTTGGCGTGTGGTGTGTATAAAAAAAAGCCAGGCAAGAAAAAACAGAGTCAAAAAGCAAAAACAACCAAAACTCTGCCAGTGGGCGGTCGGAAAATTTAGGTGAAAAATCGGGGTGGGGGTGGAGGTTGCGGTGTGGCAAGCAGTGGGTGGGGTGGGGTGAGGTGGGGTCGCCTAGCAGCTGCAACTCAAGCGATGCGATGCTGCCAAACCCACGGCACCGTGGAAAAAGAGTGCTTAATTTTAGCCAAATATAATACGATTTCTAAAACATGTTTAAAAGGTTAGTTTTCATTTCAATTTTATATAATAAGCCAACAATTTAAGAAAAAACTGAAGAGAATTTAAATTTCCGGGGAAAATGTTTTAATTAAAGCAATTAAGTCTAATTTTAAAAACTTATCTTTTAAACATTGGAAATATTTTGTATTCATCTAAATTCCCTATTCGGCTCATAGTTTTTCTAGTTAGTTTATAATTTAGAAAAGTCTGTTGCATTATTTATTTAAATGTTAATTTTCTATTTTGTCCCACTGTATTTGCTCGAACGACAAAGCTAAATGCAGAAGCAAGAGGAAGACAAAACGTTTGAAGCTGCGCTTTGTCGCGTGTTTATTTGTGGTCTTTGCATTTGTATCTTTTCTGCAAAGCTTTCTCTGCCAACGCCTCTGCTGCTGCGCTGCCACTGTGGTGATGTGTGCAATAATGTGCGTGGGCAGAGAACGGAAATCGTGTGCAGTCGACGTCGACGTCGCTGCTTCACATTGTCGTAATGTGTTACGTCAAAGCAATCTCGCACACCACTATAGGTTTGTCTATACGTATGCATGTAGCGCATTAAAGGTAAAAACGTCGCGCTGTCTGCGGCAACTAATTAGGTAACGTGCCAGCAGCCAACTAGAAACAAGAACAACAACTAGAACCCATGATAAGAGGCAGCGCGGTTGGCAGCGCAGTCACCGCAACGCAAATAGCAACATAAATTTCGCACACACACACACAGAAAACAAGCGCGCGAGCTCGAATAAAAATCCAATAAGAAACAAAATTGCCAGGCTGTCTGGCAGCCCAGGTCCGTTGTTGTTGTTTTTGTTGTTTTTGCCTCTCTTCTGCGCTTTTTTTCTGTTTTCTTTTTTGCAAAAATAAATTTAATTTTGTAGCCATTAATTTTCCACTCTAGATACGAGAGACGTCGTTCTATACCCGCACGTATACGTATTATTCAGCCTCTCAGCCTGGGTCCGCTAATTAAATAACTAAAAAAAAATAATGTTTATAATTGCGCGCTTTGTTCATTTTACAGGCCAACTTCTGCTGTTAATCCAACCAAAAAAAATCGAGCGAAATCCAGCAGTCACTAGAACTTCTTTTCTAGCGGAAAATCACTCTTTAAATTGAATAATTAAAAAAAACTGTTCATTATGGCTATGGAAATTTAAACTATAACTAGATATATATAACTATAAGATATATATATTTACCAACCTTAATTTTGATTTCAATTCCATAAATAATTTCAAAAATCTAAATTTTTTCCATATTTTATAATCTTTGACAAAAAGTTTAGAAATTACCTTTTCATCTTTTCCTAATACCTCCAAAACATCATTGATCTTAAAAGTCAAAGTTTAAAATTATTTAATTGGTAGAAGTTCTAGTATATAATATATTTTGACCATCTTTTGCGTACCATTGTGTCTTCCAGCTGTGAAAATTTCAATATAGTCTTTCGTAGGATAATATTGGTTTACTGGGCTCAATATATTGAAAGATAGACAAAGAACTCACTCCATAAGTTTGTTGAGTCGTTTATTTACTCGTTTCACATTTTCAAGTTCAATTTTGCGCAATTAGTAAACATTTATTGTTATTATTATTATTTTCTTCTTGCTCCGGTCGGTTTTATATACATACATATATGTACAAGTGCGTCGATGTATGTGTGCTTAATAAATTAACGTCTTTTTTATCGCTTCAATGATAAACCGTTTTGCTTGATTGGTCTAAGGCACATAAATAAAGAATAAATAAAGCACAACAAATGCTTGTGATGTTGTTGCGCCATTGTTGTTGCTGTCCTACGATAAGAACGAAGCGTGTGATATCATATGCCAAATATTATATCCTCTGCATATCTATTCTATTTGGGGTGTGGTAAGCAGCAGTCAGGTGAATATGAGTTTTCCTGGAAGTCAACTTGTGTGGGCAGTTTCTATATTTTACTTTATTTCAACGAAAATATAGAAGTCAAAAAACTTTTACTTTAGGAACCATTGAAATCTAATTCCAGCATAAACAAAGTGACTTCTTGTTTAGAAATATGTTTCAGTCAAATTACAATATACTTAAACATAAACGATTTACGAATTGTCCAACGAAATAGGAAATAATAAACTCTAACCACAAAATTTGGCTACGAAGAATATTTTTATAAACATAAATGGATACACTTTTGAAAATCCCTTTCTAAGAGAGACAGCAGTAACAATTTTTAATGAATTTACCAAAAAAGAAAAACATATGGAGCAATATTCAACGTCCAAGTACTTTGAATGTGCAGACATAAATGGAAAGTTATACAAACTATGTGATCTATCCGAGAAGCAGAAACAAATGTCAGTTAACCAAATACAGCATCAAAACCTGGGAACTTCTACATCTCGTCAAGCAGGACAATCCAGGGATTCAAGAAATTGTATGCTTGCAGCTCCAGCAGTTTTGTATAAGGAAACAACGAAATTGCCAAAAAACCAGATGCTTCGTAGAAGTGAGCGTGTTAAATGTCGTGAGCAGAAACTAAAGGTGACCAAGGAAGTCAATCCAAAGGACCAAGAGGAATGCAGTCTTAAAGCTAAGAAGCCACAACCACGAAGCAAGATCAATTTGTTCAAACGTGCGAATATGAACAAAAAGAATTATGATCTCAACGAGAAGGAACTTGGATTGGCTTTTCGAAAGCAAAGACGTAAAGATTTGGGAACGGCCAAAACACGTCAAGTAGGAAAGTTGAACAAGGATTCGAGAAGCAGATTAGCTAAAGATCCACACGCTTCGTTACAAAAAGATTTACCATTAATAGATTGGGCCACATTAAATGCTCCTGAAAAGCCTACAGAAGCACCTGTTCTGAGAAGGAGTGCGCGAATTCAAGAACTTAAACGCAGGAAAGAAGCTTTGGAAGCCAAATTAAAGGAGGATGAAAAGAAACTAAAGTCGCAGCCTATAAAACCGCGATCTGTGAAACGTGTCGTTCGGAAACGTAAGAACAGCAAAACTAAGGTGTTCCCTCCATATTTTGAATGCGCCGAAATAAATGGAAAGCTTTACAAACTCTACGACGTTACCGAAGTCATGGAATTAGCGGATGCTTTCCGGAAGCAACAGAAAAAGAAGCAAAATCAAAACAGTCGACGACGCTTGGGAAATGAATGAATGAAATACCAAATTGCATGTTAGTAATATCACGCATCTTAAAGAATTTGTTGTATTTGTCAGTAAATGGTTCCAATCAAAATTTGGTTTTTTAGTTGAGTTTTGAGTATAAGTCAAGTAGCCTAATAAACAAAGTAAATATGCCTTTCAGAAAACAGAATTGTTGGTATGATTTTTCAGTATTTTGCCCCAATTGTTCCGTCACTAATCTTATCCCACATCAACTGATTCCCAGAAAAGCATTTACGATGTGTTCGGGGGTGATATCACCTGAGAACGAGTGACAGACTTGCACAATTTTACCCGTTGAAGTCACACAAACAGTAAGGCTTCCGAACTGTGCGGTTATCAGACAGGTGATAAACAAACTCAGCCCTGATACTACAGTTTTGTACGCTATATCTATATTATTGTGTTTGTCAAACTCGGAGCGGAGGCCTCGCTGGACTAACGAAGTACACACGTATCTCCAGATAGTGTCACGCTGCAAACACGGCCACTCAAAGCCAGATCTCTCACCTTGAACCAAAACGGCAACTTGTAATCCCCCAGACTTAAGCTGCTCATATATTTGAGCATCTGAGAATCAGATAAAAGCAGAGTGCCGCAGGAGGAGCTCAGCCCAAGCAGCGCATTCAAAATTAATCTGCGGCGGCAATAATTTCCGATTTTTTGTGCTCGCATGAAAATCCCAAGCATGTCAAATTGTATTCCATTCAAGCAGCAAAATGAGAAAAATAAAAGCGAGCGCGAGAAGGAAAGAAAAATGCCCACATTGAGCCGACTGTCAAGAGATCTTAACGAAACCAGAGAAAATAAAAACCGATCCTGCCAAAGAAGACACACTCATAAAAATCAAGTAAGAAAATGTCATGGGAAAGTAAATCGACTTAAGGATGCTCTGCACAGATTTCATAAGATAACAACTTTAAGTTTGATTTTAATAGGAATTGAAATATCTATTAAAAATATAAAATTAGGAAGAACTTTGTCATGTGTGTTTCTCTTAACCTTTTGAAATGTTAGAACTGGAAAACATCTTTACCATTACTACTTTAATGCTTGATTTTAGTCTTAAATAAAATAAACGGTTTCATACAACAATTCTAAGAGCCTTAAAACTAATTTGTTTTGTTTTATCCTTCTTTAAACCATGATAGTCAAGTCTTCAATATTTTAATTATTTTTCATATCCTTCAACAAAGTATTATTTGAGAAATATACCTTCTACAATATTTTATTTTAGTTAATTCTACTATTTATAGATTTAGATAACGATTTCATCCAACCTTGCTTTATACCCTCGTGTTCCGTAAGTACCTGGTACAAAAAAAAAGAGATTTACAAAAAAAAACAAAATAATAAAGAACGCAGGGCTTTGGAGCTGTCAGTCGTCGAGGTCCCAGAACGCGGTCTACGAAATTCAAAAGGCCAGCAGCTTCAGCTTCAGCTTTAGCTTGAGCGTCGGTTCGGGCCAAGTGAGAAAACCAAGCGCGACACCAACACCAAAAACCGGCTGTGGGAAGAATCCCCCACCCCCTCCCCACCTATCTGCCTCTCGTTCTTTCGGCACTGCCCATCTCGCTCCCACACTCTCCTGACGTGGGGCCGCCATTGGGAATTGAATTGGATTTCCAGTCAACGTTGAAATTTCAGTTTGGCTGCCTTTTCGAAGGTGTGAAGAAAAAATAAAAACACAAAGGCAACAACAACAACAAAAGCGACCGGGCACAGCACGAAATTCTGAAAAACTCCAGGAACCAAAAGCCAAACCAAAACGAAACGAAATCAACTGAAGATCTGCAGGAAGCTGCACAGCAGAGCAGAAAAACAACAGAAAACTGGATTGGGCCTCGTTTTCCAAAGACGGAGCAGCAACAACTGCAACAACAACAACTGCAGAACCGGGCAGAAAGAGGAAGAGATTCTGGGATTTCACTTGCATTGTTACTGGATATGATCGGTCAAATATATGTACACATATATATGTTATACACAAGGTATTCCAATGTGTGCGTGTTAGAAGGGAGCATCTGTTTCTGTTTCTGGCATCGAAGGTCTTTTGATTGGGATTCGTTTCGGGTTTTTCCTCTCAATTCTTTCGAGGGGATTCTTTGGCCCTTTTGTAGTTTTTGCCACTTTGGGAATTAGGAGGAAAAGGTGAAAAGTGTTTCGGATAAGTAATAATAGGATAATAGATCCTGAGTTTGACTTTTTTTAAATGCCGTTCATGAGCTGACATTGTTTTTCATGTTGTAAGTTACAGGATGTAGCCTTTTCAACTTTTGAATAGGTTTTAGAATAATAAGCTATTTATTTATCGGCAAATTCAAAAGACCATGACACAAAGATATTTTTACAAAATTAAAGCAGTGTAATAAATAAAAAAAAACACATTTTAACATAATGGGTTTTCATAGCCAACATTTTAAAAAATAATCTGTTTTTCATAGAATTTTTATGGTGGTGGTTATTGTTATTATCTTAAAGAAATGTCATTAAAAATGTGAACTTGATTAAATGGGGGAGTCCTAAATTGATCTAATCTTTAAGATCATCTAAAAATGTCAACCCTAGTTCCACATTTGCATTTAACAGAATACCCTTTTTCCTAAAAATTGACTTTGACATGTTTGGTACATGTTTTTATTTATTTTTTTTTTCTTAAAAGTGATCTACAAGCCGAAAACCCTGGAGAAATCCCTAGTTCAAAGTTACAGCTGTGCAGCACGTAGCACACACAAACGCACAGACAAACAGATTATTCCCGCATAGATCGAGGCCCAAGCGACAAAGATACCCCGCATGCACGTAGATACAAAAACATACGTACACATAATTCCGAGCAGCAAAACTATTCAACTTCGAACCGAATCTGATTTCTGAAACTGATTGTGTGTATGCGTTGCCTCGGTTGTTGTTGTTTTCAATGGTGTTCGGGACGTCAGTTAAACGAAAGCCGACAAGAAGGTAAGCCCACGAGGAATCCTCCGCAAGCCACACTATATGTACACTCAGAGAAAGTATCAAAATGTGTCCACTTTACATAACACTTTAAAACATTTTAAGCACCAAGAAGTTTCTGATTATAAATGGTATTAAATCTATAAGAACTCTAATAGTTTTGAAAATATAACTTTTGGATCTGAAGACAAAACCTTAACTATCTCAAATCTACTTGACATACCACATTTCATATCTTTCAAACAAAAAATACTATCACAAAATTTATTTAAGTGGTCCTTTTTAATACCTTCGAAACTATTAATATTAAAAAAATCTTTATTTTAGAATTTAATAAGATGCAAGCTATTTTGATAAAATTGTGAATTTATTTGTTTGGCATTATCTCCATATTAAAAATATAGAATTAAATCTATCAGATCTATAAACTTTTGGTTTTGAAAATAAAAAACCTTATTGTCCCACAAAAATTGTGTATCTGTCATAAGTTGCATGTTATGTTAATAAAGTAAGGGGGATTTTTTCTCTCTGTACTCTATGGTGTATGCCCCACACTCCTGCCACACACTTCAAGTCGCTCGCTTGGTCGTCGGCTTAAATTGGTTTTTATTGTTGTTGCACATGATGTCCATTGTTGGTGGTGTTGGCCCTCGTAGCTTCGTTTTGACCATATTTCTTGTCCGTGCTCCGCTTGCGTTGCTGCTGCTGTTGTTGTTGTTGTTGTTGTTGCCGTTTTACCTTTCTTTGAAGTCGCATTTAATTCTTTGAGTTTCTTATTCTGTTCATTTTTTTCGTTTATTCCTTTTTTTTTTTCATGGCAGACCTTTGAGGAGCGAAGACGACGACGACGACGACGTTGGGCTGTCTGGTCGAGGTGTGAAGAAAAGAATTTTTCTGTGCAATAATCTTGATGCCTTTTAAAGATTTGTAGCTGCCGTGGAGCTTTGCTCCTCCCGTCTTCTGGGGATTCTGGGGGCAAACAACGCAGGGGATGGAGCTGCATACGTTATTCTGCCTGAGTTCTTTCCTGGCTTTTTTGTGGGCTCTCTCCCCGTGCGATTCGTTTCAGTTGAAAAATGGTTTGGGTTTAAGGAAATTTACGCCATAAAATGCTGAAATAATTGGATACACTCGCAGCCCCGGCATCTCCGATCTCGCTCCACACTTCGAGTGCATTTCAAATTGCTAATGATGAGGAGCCGGCCGGTGTAGCCATAGCTTTAGCTTCTTCTTCCACCGACTTCATCATTGCGAGATGCTTTCGTGAGACAAGCGACATGCCATGGTCAAGTCTCTCAGTTTGGTTTGCTTCGGTTCGGTTCGGTTCGGTTCGCCATCTGCGGCAATTGCAGTTCCCCAGGGCCAAGCCGACACCAGTACCAGCACCAGCACCAGCACCAACCCAACCAAACCCAACCAAACCCATCCAAACCCAACCCAACCCAAGAACCCCAGTCCATCCGACCCAGCGGAGCATTAAATGCATTTATTTATGAGACCACCTGATATAATCTACGGCTGAAATTGCAGCTCATATGCATATGATGGCAGAGGTGATACTGAATTTAGCTAGAATTCACACCTCGCTCTGGGCCGGGGCTTCTTAATAATATATTATGCTCAGGTACTGAATCTAAGCTTCAGATCCATTTAGCCTGCTGAAACTTCTTTCTTGGTCTTGTGCACTTTATAGTAAAAATCAAAATAAGGAGAGAATTAAGTTCCTTCGTAGATTTAATAAGACTGCAGATTCTTGGGAATTTCATATTGTTAAAATGTTATATGAGATTCTTGGCACATTGAATAATTGGAATAAGAATAATATCATTGAATAAGAACATACAATTCAAAATCTCTTACCTAAGCGTAACAAGTTTGATGAGCTGTTAATATTAATCTAATTTTAATATTAATTTTTTGCAATAATAATGGTTTACCAATAAAAGGAAGCTTTTATTTATTGGTAAATAAAACCTATTCTTTCTGTGCAATATTCTTTCTAAAAGTACATTTGCATTTAAAAATGCGAAATAGGAGGAAGAGGAGGAAGTTATCTTAAGAACCATTAGTGCAAAAACTAGGAGAAACGCAATAGAACGAAATTATCTTGATATTTCCTCTTTCTGGGGGCATAGATTCTAAGACCTAAAACCTAAAACCAATGAGACGGGGAAATTCCTGCTGCCAGACTCACTTATCGGGCCGACTAAAATCTTGCAAATACAAATTGCATCAACGCCTTTAATCCGTCGGGGCTTTTGTGTGCCCAATCCCAGTCGCAGGCCCAGAGTCCCCACCCCGATGTGCCTCCACCCGCTTCCAATTTTGGACTTTAGACGGCCCTTGTAACAGAAAGACCAGTCAGATGCAACAACACGAACTAGTTGCACTAATCATAAAATCCCCCATCAATGTTAAAATGTATGAATGCAAAATGCAAAAATGGAAACGGCACGAACAACCAGCTGAGGAGCTCACGAATGTGGGCACAGAGGAACAGAGCCTCATAACTAAATTGCATTAAGTGTAATTATAACTAATTAGAAAACGGAAAAAGCAGAATCTGAAAAAATGGCCACAATTCAATAGAGGCCAACTGGGCGAGGAGTAACTGGCACAGTCAGGGTGAAAACAATAAAGCAGAATGTAGAAACATTTTTTAGAAATTGCTGCTGGAAAACTATTAGAGCCAGTGGAAATGATTACGAGTCCACGATTACTGACATACACATAAAAACGAAATAAAAATCAAGCTTTGAACTGTGTTATTGATGATATTGCAGTTGACTCAGCATGGGAATAGTTTGTGGATAACAAATAAACAGTACCATTCGGGAAATCCGCTAGATACTGGTGTTGGTAAAATCACGTAGCGCTAAGTTTATACGTTTATATTGAAACTAAAAATTAATTAGACTTTCTGATGATTCTTTTTAAATAAAATTGATAAATAACTAAAGCTAAACATTAAATTCGATCACAAACCATCATCTCACTCAAAGCTAAATAAGACAAACTCAACAGGAACTAAGTTTATTTTGTAGAAAAGTAAACGAAAGATCACATCTTTTCCTGAACCGATTCATGATGGATCTCTAAGTATTTTTCTTGTTTTCAAATTGATTGATGGAATTTAGTTCTCCGTTTCCAGTCTTAAATTGTCCGAGTTCTTCTGTTGCGATCTCTGTGGCTTTGTAGGCGCGTGTGCTGCGCTGCCAGCCATTTACCTCCGACTCAAATCTACGCCACAAATCTGAATGTGCGATACCGCAGATTAGCATTCGAGGGGGCGGTCAGAGGATAGCGGATGGAGAACTGGGGGCACAATGAACTCGAGCGAGGGCTTCGGGGAGCCAGCGAGATAAATCATTTAATATAGCGCGCCATTTATCATCTAACATGGGCGAGCTGTATATCATTCATCTTTTGCATAGACCCCGCTGGGTGCCTCAGGAGTTGAGAATAGAAACAGATATACATACAGTCCCAATTTTGTAACTTCAACTTATTCTGGGAGTAAATTTCTGTACCTTGGGTTTCTTAACAAATCGAATATTATAAGAATATTTCAGCGGAGAGTCAATGCTTGTAAAATAGTAAACATTTTAAGACCGATTTTTAATTAAATATTTGTTATCCCTTTTAAAAATTATCGTTTAATAATGAATACAAGAAATACACCTTGAAAGATACAATTTATTTAGAGAACATATTAACTAAACTGATTATCATGGCTAAGATTATGACAATTATTTGTTAGCATTAAAAATTTCCAACTGCTAATTACTTATTTATTTATTCTTTCCATAGCTGATTGATAATATAAATTAGAGCTAATTTGTAATTTCCATATTTTAAAGTTCTAAGTGATTAAATTAAATCTAGGCAACAGGAAAGATTAATTCAAAATTATCTTCAAAAATAAAATGTTAGTATGATAAATAGTTTCTTAAATAGTGGAAAGTCCACTGAAGCTATAGAAATATCAAAAAGTAACAGGCAAACAAGAGAACGAAACTACATTTTTGCAAAAGTCAATTTGTAACTTAATTAGGCGGCGAAATGCGGCATTTACTCACCTATTCAAAGTGACGGCGAACGGTAAACGGTGGGCGGGGGATCTCGGTGTGTGGGTGGTGGGCGTTCGGTGCAAACAAGCGGGCGAGAGCGAGACGGGGCACACAGCGAGGGGAGAGACAGAGACAGAACAGAGCCTTAATGTCTGCGGCGGCAAACTATTACGTACGTCGGGCTATTGTATACACATGCATATTCATATGTGCGAAGGAAATGAACAAATGTTTGGCTGTCTGTTGTCGTTTGTCTATCACTTGCGATGATGTTGATGATTCCTATTTCCAGTACCCGATTCCCGCTTGTTTATTCGTCACTTTAACACGTTCGATTCTATTCGATGCCGACGTCGACGTCACCGACACGCGCACACACACTTGCACAGCTTATTTTTATTTCGCTTTTCTAGTATGGGTGTATTTTTCCTCAATTGCGGTGGCGGCAAGCTCACACACACACATTCACGGGTGCCTCCACACTAGCACACTCATTGACAACAACAGTGCGCACGTAATGCGTGATTTTTTGCGGGGGCGGGGGTATTTGTTGCTATTTTGTTTGCTGCCGCTCAGTTTTCAGTTCTAAGCCCGCGATTTATTCACTTATCAGGGGCTTTAAACAAAGGCTCGCTGGCGTTTTAATCGTACCCTCAAGCATATGTATGTTTTTTGTTATTGCCGAGATTTTATGCTCTCACACACACGTTCGGTCTATCTCGCTCTCACGCACACGCCGTTAGAATTGTTGTGGATTTTCCAGCTTCGATTGCGGCTGGCTAACTAAAACCGATTCGAATTAGCTGTGCAGCGGTGCACACTTTGATCATTTACCAAACGGGGCAATCCGTTCTTGTTTTTAATTAATTTGAGGCAGCAGCAACGCGACGAACGACCTGCGGCTGTGAAAATTGAATGTAGAGTGACCGTGGCTGGAGCGCTGACTAACACCTTGTTCTCTTGAAAATGTCCTTAAATAATGTACTAAATAATCCCGAGTAACAGATTAGATGGGTGGTTGAGAACTTGGATACAACTGCAGTATTGGTTCTTAATTTGACCGGCTTTTGTCTTTTTCTTTTAAATTTCATATTTACTATTTATCCCTAAACATTTCTTGACATTAATACCATTTTATTCATAATGAAATAATTGTCAAACATATATGGAAGATATAAAATGAAATGTATAAAAATGGTTTCAAAATTTAGCTTTCCCTAAAACAGTGCTATAAAACGACTGGAAGCCACAGCTGTTCAGTTAGTCACCGAAATGTTGTTATTGAGTAAGCTCCCCAGGATAACACAATTTCTGACGAAGGATCCGATAGACCAGCGGGGCATCTGGGGCTATGTGGCCATCGCCTTCAACCAGGTGGATGCGGATCGGCTGGCAAAAGTGGGAGCAAACCGCCTGTGCGCCGAATGGATCATTAAGAACGGAGGTGGAGTGCGTTTTGTGGACAGCCCCAGCAGGTTGTGGAAGGATTACAACTCGCTGCCTGGAGAGAATACTCAGTTCTGCCTGAAGGTAGTGGACGCCTCGAATTCATCGATCATGAAGATAGGACTGGAGCACTTAAAGGGCTGCAATAATATCGACACGGTAATCTTTCACAACTGCAAGCACCTGGAGAACGATGGATTGGAGGGATTGCATCACATCAGCAACTCCCTGGAGCGATTGCAGGTCTCCGGCTGTTACAACATCACCGATTCTGGCCTCGCCGTGATCGGGGAGCTCAAGAATCTGAGACAACTGCTCATATTCGACATGATATTCGTGAAGAACATGGAGGCGGTGGCCGCCAAGCTGAAGAAGGACCTTCCAAGTTGCGACATCAAGGCCACCAAGCTGGGCGTAACGCTAAAGCCCAAAAAATAGTCTTTAAATTGTGATTTGTTCTGTTGTTTTCCTCTTATTTTGTAAATAGAAACGTTCTCGATGTGTTTGAAAGGGTTAAAATTGCACACTGGAGCAAATTTAGCTTTTCTCAAACACAGCAAGAAAATATATAGCAATGCCTTAAAAATACTTTGTTTTTATAATTTATTTTGTAGTTACAAAAAATCGTAGATGTAAAATAAATGATTGACCAATTTGAAATCTAACAACTTTTCTTTTAAAAACGCTTGCCATATAACGTGTCTTTGCCTGACAAGCTATGCCTTAAAACTGCTTTTAGTTTTATAATTTATTTTGTAGTTACAAAAAATCATGTTTATAGAATAATAATTCTATATGTTCAAAATATTTGAAGTAACGTATTTTTCCCTTAACAGCACTGGCAATCTAACGTATCTTTGCATTTTTCTTCAACCCAAGAACGGTCATACTATTTTCAGAAAGAAGGACAAAATGTGAAAAACTAACAATAAAATGACCAAGTTAAAGTATTTACTTAGCTTTGCCACCCAGCCACGAGCCATTTCGCATTCCAATCACAAGGAGCACATCCTGAACTGCCTGACCTATGGCCTGCTGGTGATTGTGGCCCTCTGCGCGGGCTTCCTGCTGTGGGACCTGTCCAACAGTCCGCGGGATGGATTCTTCCACGGCAAAAGGGACTCGCACACGCTGATCCTGGACCTGGAGCACACTCAGGAGGTCGCCCTGAATCCCGAGGGCGAGCAGCGGGCCCGGAATGTCAACTGCACCTTCTGGGACTGCCTGAACATCTACAAGTGCGAGCACGACCGCTTAAAGGTCTACATCTATCCGCTGCAGGAGTTCGTGGACGAGCGGAGCGACAAGGTGGCCACCACCCTGTCCAGCGAGTATTTCCAGATCCTGGAGGCGGTGCTAAAGAGCCGCTACTACACCTCGAATCCCAATGAGGCGTGCCTCTTCCTGCCCAGCTTGGATCTCCTAAACCAGAATGTCTTCGACAAGCATCTGGCGGGCGCTGCTCTGGCTTCCCTGGACTTCTGGGATCGCGGGGCCAACCACATTATCTTCAATATGCTGCCTGGGGGAGCACCATCCTATAACACCGTGTTGGATGTGAATACGGACAATGCCATCATCTTTGGCGGCGGCTTCGATTCGTGGTCCTATCGTCCAGGCTTTGATGTCGCCATTCCCGTCTGGAGTCCGCGCCTGGTGCGGCAACATGCCCATGCCACTGCCCAAAGGAAGTTCCTTTTGGTGGTGGCTCAGCTGAGCATCCTTCCGCGGTTCGTGAGGACCCTACGCGAGTTGGCCTCCGCCCACAGCGAACAATTGCTCCTTGTGGGAGCCTGCGAGAGCCTGGACCTCGCCATGCGCTGCCCTCTGTCGCAGCACCACAAATCCCTGGAGTATCCTCGCCTGCTGTCGCGTGGTAAATTCTGTTTGCTGGGTCGCAGCCTTCGCTTGGGTCAGCCCGATCTGGTGGAGATTATGTCGCAGCACTGCATTCCCGTGATTGCCGCGGACAACTATGTGCTGCCCTTCGAAGATGTGATCGATTGGTCGCTGGCCTCCGTTCGTATACGCGAAAGCGAACTGCACGCCGTGATGCAGAAGCTAAAGGCTATATCTAGTGTCAAGATCGTTGAGATGCAGAAGCAAGTCCAGTGGCTGTACTCCAAGTATTTCAAGGATCTGAAAACTGTGACGCTGACGGCGCTTGAGGTGCTCGAAAGTCGCATCTTTCCGCTGCGTGCCCGCAGCAGTCGCCAGTGGAACGTCATCGACACCAACGCCCGTTCCACCTTCAATCCCCTTTTCCTGCCCTCGCTGGCGCCAAAGTCACAGGGATTTACCGCCGTCATCCTCACCTACGATCGCGTGGAAAGTCTCTTTCTGCTGATCCAGAAGCTGGCAGTGGTGCCCTCGTTGCAAAGCATTTTGGTGATTTGGAACAATCAGAAAAAGTCTCCGCCGCACTGTGAGTTCTTTAGAAATAAACCTTTACAACTAAAGTAATCATTTTTTGTACCTGAACAGTATCCACATTTCCATCTATATCGAAGCCCTTGAAGATTCGGCAAACCAAGGAGAACAAGCTATCAAATCGATTCTATCCATATCCGGAAATCGAAACGGAAGCTATTTTAACTATAGACGATGACATTATAATGCTGACAACAGATGAATTGGATTTTGGGTAAAATTAACTGCTAGATGGTTCAAGTTTCCTGTCTAATCGATTCTATTTTGTAGATATGAAGTTTGGCGCGAATTTCCCGATCACATTGTGGGCTTCCCCAGTCGCATCCATGTCTGGGATAACGTCACCATGCGCTGGCACTACGAATCGGAGTGGACAAACCAAATATCGATGGTCCTCACCGGAGCCGCCTTCCATCACAAGTACTGGAGCCACATGTACACACACGCCATGCCGGGAGACATCAAGGATTGGGTGGATGAGCACATGAACTGCGAAGACATTGCCATGAATTTCCTGGTGGCCAACATTACCAATAATCCTCCCATCAAGGTCACTCCCCGTAAGAAGTTCAAGTGTCCAGAGTGCACTAATACGGAAATGCTTTCCGCCGATCTGAATCACATGCGGGAGCGTTCGGCCTGCATCGATCGCTTCTCTAAGATCTACGGACGTATGCCTCTGCGCACGGTGGAGTTCAGAGCGGATCCGGTATTGTTCCGTGACAATTTCCCGGACAAGTTGAAGCGCTACAACGACATTGGCAGCTTGTAAGAATCCCAAACTTGGGTCTTAATATTCCAATGGAATTTAAGGAGATATACCAAAGACTTGTGGGAATTGCGCTCAACTTCTTTAACGGAAAACTCATGTTGCAGTTGACTATATATCTTATCGGTATGGGCATAATGCTGGGATCTCGCTTGCACAACCAAGTTTGGTCTGATGAAGCTGATTATAACTAGGGGATGTTCCGGTTTAAATTATGTTCGACTTCCAATTGGTATCTCATCGATACGGGAGTAGTTAGTAACTATGTTAGCGAAATTTTAAAATGGATTTATGTCCTTAATGTACTCTTTGTTTTATGTAGAAAAATATTTATTTAAAACGCTTTTAAATTGGCAGCTATTAAGTAGACCTAATATTTGATTTCAAATCGAAAATAATTTATAAACGCTGGAACTAGCCTGTACATAAATATTAGAAGTTGATCTTAACGTACAAAAAGTGTTTTATTATCTGGACTGCTTTAAGCTGGGAACTGAAATCTCTTGCATTAATTAAATTGTACATTTTAAGGTCCGCGAAAATGCTATGCTAATATCATTAACATGGTGGCTCTGATCTTAGGTTTTAGGCTTCTTTGATGGATGCCAAATACTCTTTGTAACGTTGCTCCTGTTGCTGCTGGAGTTTCTGCAACTTCTTGATCTGTCCCTTGCTAACCTCCTTGCCTTCCTTGTCGAGTGTGGGCAGGCCCTAGAAATGGGATCAATAATGTTAGTAAATGTGTATAATGTCTATGGAAATAGATGCCCTACATTATCATCGAATGCTGAGTACTTTTCCGTTTCGCCGAGGAACATTTCCTTGGGATTCACACGTCGCTGAGCTTCCTTGGCCGCCGCAGCCTCAGCAGCTGCCTGCTTCTTGCGCTCCTTCTCAGCAGCCTTCTCCGCCTCGGCAGCCAGCTTGGCTTCCCGCTCTCGTAAAAGTGAGTCGCGGTCAACCAACTTCACGGCATACTTGCCGTCATCCTTGTCCTCCAATCGCACACCCAAATTGGGCAGAACATTGTCGCGCAGGTCGTCGCAGAGCTTAAGGATGTCAAAGGCCTTCAGGGTCTTGGCTTGCTCGCGTACCACATTACGGAATTCAGCCAGGGATTGAACATAGGGCAGCACGGTGGTCTCCAGATCAGCGCCAGCTGTTTGCGATCCTGAGCCACCAGTGACGGGGAACCCAATGCCACCACGAGGTCCGGAGATAGCTCCGAAAACGTGCAAAAGATCCGTAATGTAGGTGGCCACATTACGCAGCAACAGGCTGTTCAACCTAGTCTTATTGTCCCGAATGTAGACATTGGAGGCGGACACTAGCTCCCTGATGGTGTCAAGGGCGCTACGAGTGTCAACGTTGTCTGCAAGCGTAAAGAATAATATAAACTCTACTCTAACTAATATCCTTTTTCTTAAAACACACCGCAGAGAGCAGCATGCACCTGGACTTGGGAACTGGCGAACTTCTTCTGCAAAGCTGCCTCCACTTCTGTCCAGGCATCGAATTGCCTTCGCGGCTCTTCGGAGAGCACGTGGCGGGTCAGGTCCTTGACATTCAGGAAGAACTCCTGCAAGTCAAAAATGTACATTAAATCCTTGCTAAAACTTAAAGGAAATCCTTCTTACATTGAGGAACTTCTCGTACTGCGTGGCCATTTCCATGGTGTTCTCCGAGTAGTCGAGTGTGTCCTTCCACGAGTGCAGCAGGAACGCCAGTCGCAGCTGGGTGGCCGAGTGCTTCTTGAGGGCTTCTTGGATGGTCACGAAGTTCTTCAGCGACTTGGACATCTTGCAGCCGGCGATGGTAAGGTGGCCCGTGTGCAGGAAGTACTTCACCCACTCGGCCTCGTTGAAAGCCGCCTCCGATTGAGCCAACTCGTTGTCGTGATGGGGGAACTTCAAGTCCACTCCGCCAGTGTGTATATCAAAGGTTGGGCCAAAGATGTCCGAGGCCATGGCCGAGCACTCGATGTGCCAGCCAGGACGTCCCTTGCCCCAAGGACTATCCCACCAGGGTTCCCCGGCCTTGCTTGCCTTCCACAAGGCAAAGTCGTTGGCCGAACGCTTCTCGGAGAGCCTATCCTCGGCCACGGACAAATCGCCCTCGCCCTCTTGCAGGGATTTGGTGTCGCCGTAAGCCTCAGGCACCAACTTGGCATAGTGGTGCTTCTCCCGCTTGTCGAAGCCGTTTACATCGAAGTAAACGGAGTTGTTGGCCGCATAGGCCAATCCGTTGTCAATGATCTTCTGGATGAAGGTGACGATCTGCGGCACGTACTCCGAAACGCGGGTTAAAACATCTGGAGGTAGAATCTGTAATATGTGAAATTTCCAAATGATTAATTTCAAAGTTGATGAGCTCCACATCGGTAGATGACTCACATTCAGTGATTTCATGTCGTTGTGGAACTGGTCTTCCCAGTAGCGTGGCAGAGCCTCGAACACAGCATTGTCATTGATTTGGGCCCCTTTTTGGGAGTCCAACCAGTCGGAGATGGGGTCCTTGGCTTCGGCAAGGTAATGCTGACGCTTCTCGGAGATCTCCTGCTCCCCGCCCTTGGAAACCGCCTGGGTGAGGGCCTCCACGGCATCGTTCATGCGCTGCAGGGTCTTGTCCAGCATCACCTTCTTGTCGGGATCCGTGTTTCTGGCGCAGGTGTCCTGGAACCGCAGCAGCACCTCCTTTTGCTGGCCCAGCAGCTGATCCAGAGGCAACTTCGCCGCCTCACTGGCGTATTGCTCGAAGAGATGGTTCTGCCGCGCCCGCCGGATGATCTTATCATCGATATCCGTGATGTTCATCACATAGTGGATGTTGTAGCCAAAATAGTTGGCCAAAATGCGCCGCAGAATGTCGAAGGAAATGTAAGATCTGTGGAGTGGGAAGATAAGATATACCCATGATGATGTGGCGGCCTAAGGGAAACCAACCTGGCGTGCCCCATGTGGGAGGCATCGTAGACGGTGGGCCCGCAGCTGTACCACGTTACATTGTTTCCGTCCAGCGGCACAAACTCCTCCTTCTGGCGGGTGAGGCTGTTGAACAGCTTCAGTTTCGGCCGGTCCGCCGCCTTGGGAGCTTGCCACGCCGGTTGCCCACGTTTCGACATTATCTCGTTGTGTATATGCGTACGTATAAACCAGGCAATTCAATTTACTCTGCACTTGCAATGCGGCAAAATTTCATCAGCTCTGGAATGGGAAACAGCTGTCTGCGGACACGTGGCAACACCGCTTGGAGTTGCCACACTGGTTTGGCATTAAATAGCTTTCTAACGGTTTATTGTAGTTTAAAACAGGAAAGGTGCATTTAACTGTGTAACTTATGGATCTACTTTGTTTGAAAACATTCATATCACTTTCTTTCTTCAACTTTAATATTTGATTGTGCCAATACCAGACACTCCTTTAAAAGCAATTTAGTTCTGATATTACGAAATAAGGAAAAAAGAAATATGTATAGGGAATTTTTATATTTATTAATTAATTAAATGGTCTTGAGAACATCTTTTCCGTTAATAATTTATAGAGCTGGAAATATTATTTTATTGTTTCAAAGAAGTTTTTGGCCGAATATGTAAATAATTTCATAAAAGAATTTTTTTTACAGAATACATCGCCAACGACAAAATTTAAATTTAATGAATTTCGAATTTATGTATGCATCTAAAACGTATATTTTTTTATGCAAAGACGAACAAACTAAGTTGCGTTTACCGCCTAAGTTTTTATCATTACCTTCATGGGCTCCATAAGTTTCAATAAACTAAAACTAGCAAGTACTTTTACTATTTTCCTTTGCTTTTTTTGGATCCTCCGCCGGTGGCCTTTTGTGTGCGTCCCAATTGCATGTCCTTGAGCTTGGCATCCAATCTCTTTTTCGCATTCTTGACATCCTCCTCCTGGCGCACGGTTTTTAAGGGTTTGGGATGCAGGAACTTCTTGCGCTCATCTCGCTTAATTAGCTCACCACAACCGTGGACCTCTAAAAAATGAGTAAATCTATAACTGGTCAGAAATTATTATTTAAAAAAGGCTATAGACCTGGCAGACCGTGCTTAAAGCAGAATCTCTTTTTGCATTGCTGACAATCCTGGCCCATCAGACTCGTCTTGGTCTTGCAGCGGGGAAAGTCGCATAGGTTATCCACCTCTTTAACAGCTGTGAGCACATCGTCCAGCTTGAGATCCACCACCTGGCTGGGAATCCTCTCCAGCAGCTCCAATGTGTTGTTTGTACCGTAATCCACTCGTTTTCCAGGTTTGGCGGGTGGAAACAGAGGAGCTTCGTCTGCTTTTGACGATGTTGAGGGTTTGTTTGGATCGTCTAGGATAAATTATCACTTATAAATCAAATAACAAAGTTTTTAACGTGTTTTTACTTACCTGCCATTGGTTAATCTCTTTTAGTTGAGTATTTATTAATTTTTGTCTATAAATTTACATTTGTGTCTTGGCGATGAAAGTTTGGCAAACTAAACAGCTGACTTGTAATCGATAAGTCGATTATTTTTAAGGAGTTATCGCACTAAGCGGATTTTTTTAAAAACCCTTAGCCCTTGGGAGCCCAAAAAAATTATATAAAATTGAATTTATTTTATATAGTTGATCTAAAAACAAATGTATTCTTTTACAAACATATTTAAAAACCTGAAAATGTCTTCCATTTCATAAAAAATTATTAAATTAGTTTATTGCTTTTAGTTTTAGGAAACAGAGCTTTAACCAGTTTAATAAACAAATTTGTTCTTTTACAAAATATTGAAAATCTTGAAAATGCTCTCCATTGTTGTTCATCAAAACAAAAAAAAAACACTCCCCCACATTTGAAATACTTCAGTAATGTTATTGTCGTTGTAACAAAGTTCTACACACAAGTCAATAAAGATTTAGTTACTAAGCTAAACATTGTTTAACCAATCTCTGACGGCCTTTTCAATTGTGCACAATTTGTAAGCTATCCAATCCAAACTCTTTTGACCAAATCAAGTGTATAATATATATCCATGTAAAAGCCGTGTATAAACGTTTAGTAATTGCAATTTCTGTTGGTTTGATTTAAATGCTAATGGTGAAGAGCTTGGTAAATCTCAAGCCCACTCTTTAAATAGCCTATCGATAGGTGCCCTTTACAATTTGTTGTCACAGGGACAGGATGCAGTGGCTCCTGTTCCGGTAACTGCGGCATGGATGGCCTTGGCCACGTACTCAATGTTGCCCGTGTTCAGGCCACACATGTTGATCCTTCCAGTCCTTAGCAGGTAGATGTGGAAGTCATTGATCAGGACGCGCACCTGGCTCTCGTTCAGCCCGGTGTACGAGAACATGCCGATCTGGTTAACTATGTGGTCCCAGTTGCCGGGCGTTCCCAAGGCCACCAGCTTGTCCCGCAGAGCCTTGCGCATCTCACGAATGCGGCTCGACATGGTCTGGATGGACTGCATCCACTCCTTGCGCAGCTCCGGCGTATTCAGCACCTTGGACACAATGCGGGCACCGTAGGCTGGCGGATTCGAGTACTGGCCACGAATGAGCAGAGTCATTTGCGAGTGAACCGCCGCCTTGGTGGCTCCATGCTTCTGCACCACCGTAAGATTGCCAGCACGCTCGCAGTAGAGGCCAAAGTTCTTGGCAAACGACTGGCAGGTGAAGAGCTCAAAGCCGCGCTCCACAAAGTATCGCACAGTCCAGGCATCCCGGTCCGGATCCCCGCTGGCGAATCCCTGGTACGCCGAGTCGAACAGCGGGAAGAGCTTCTTCTTCTCCAGCAAGTTGGCCAGCTCGGTCCACTGCTCCTGCGTGGGATCAATGCCGGTGGGATTGTGGGCACAGGCATGCAGGATAATCACAGCACCGGGCGGAGCCTCATCCAGATCGGCCAGCATGTTCTTGAAGTCCAGCTGGCGCTTGTTTTGGTCCCAGTAGCGGTACGACTTCAGGGTGGTAAAGCCCGCATCCGAGAAAATCTTGTGGTGGTTCTCCCATGTCGGATTCGAGTAGTACACCACGTTGCGTTTAAGCTGTGTGTGCAGGAAATCGGCGGCAACACGCAGGGCTCCCGTGCCCGAGATGGTCTGCACTCCAAAGGCCTAAAAAAGAAGGCATGTTTATTTAAAAACAATCATCAGTTGGGTGAGGGTAAACCTACTCGATTCTCCTTGATGGCAGGGGAATCAGCACCCAGTACCAATTCCGTGGCCGCAGTTGTAAACGTATCGAGACCTGGAAAACTCAATTCGGGTTTATAATAGCTATGTTTTAAACGGTAAAAAGTTAAAAACCACTTAATAATATATTGATGCTGTTAAAAACAAAAAAATCTTGAAGCTGTTAAATATAATAGAATATTTTTTTTATCTTCTTTGGAAGAGCGTTTTTAGGATGGTTAAAAAAATCTCTGTAATTTTTGAAAATAAATTTTTTAATATTTTTAGACTTTTAAGTGGCTTAAAACTTCTATTTAGAATTCAATTACAGCAAATTTGATTGAATCCTAAGTTTACTCACCAGTCACTGGCAAATACTCGTGGTTCTGAGCCTCATCGCTGGCAATGGAGATTTCAGTTTTGCGGACCACAGGCAAAACCCACGGCACTCCAGCATCCGTCCTGTAAGCTGAAAATAAACGAAATCATTGAACTCATGAGTAACCTGTTTTATTCGGAGTCCATGTATTGCTCAAGTATTAAGGGTAATACAGCGTTCAAAGTGCTGAAATCCGTACAATATTCAGTTCTTATCTAAGTGGACTTAACAAGCCTAATCAATCCGTAATGCTGTACGCAATCTGATATTGTTTTCCTGCGTTGTTTCTAGGCCAATTCAATTGTTTATTGACTGCCGTCGGGTTATTCGAAACCAATTGAATGAATTGGCCGATCAAATATTTATACTTTTGTAGCATTGTAAAAAAGCGAAAACATTAGAAACGGTGTCTATAAACAAGCCATTGATTGATATAATAAAATGAGGTACCAGTAAAATTTTAGTAAAAGTTAATATCATTCATTATAAACATCAGTAAAAGTTCAGCTCAAATGAAACCTGTTTTATTTCACCCGAGTTATTGAATATGTTGTCAGATTTTTATATGGTAGGTCCAGCTCATACCAAAGAAGCATTGATTAGTCTTTTTTTCATTTCTGCTTCAATTCAAGCAATTCCTATTAGCATAAATCATCTTTACACAAGCAAAGGTTAATGACTCGCAGATTGCTTGCAAAACAAAAACATAATAATCAACATGTTCGCTGGTGGGAATTGTTATTCAAATTATGCAATAACAGCCATAAATATAGAAAAGGTGAAATGGCGACCGTCCAAATCAGCAACATTGCTGTTGGTAGCTCGCAATCCACCAGCAACATTGCTGTTGTTATGGTCGTGCCTTCAGATTGCCACTGGACACTATGTTTGTGGTACCAGCCAAGAGTCTCACACACAAGTGGCTTATCATCCACCGTACACATGGTATAATAACTAAATACTCTGCTAGTTGACGTCAAATATGAATTAGATTAAGAAAGTCGCCCAAGAAATGCCCTATGATGGCAAAGGAAAGGCGATGTTCTGATAATCAGGTGACGTTCTACAAATTTAGAAATTGTTTAGAACTATCCATTAAACAATTTTGTTGTTGGTAGATTATTTAAGTTATAAGTTATATCTTATCAATTAATTTTTTGATATGAAAATTAGGTGACTCACTACAAGTTAAACATTTTTTTACATTTATCCAAGAAACTATTTCGTTGCTGGTTAAAATACCAAAACGCAGCTTATCAGTTTAATTGAGCTGGTTAACTCAAAGATAATGAGAAATAGTACATATAATCTTTGTATGAAACAACAAAAAAATTAAATTGAATATATATGTAACTCTAAACTCCAATTAAAACAACCCATACAATACTTGTAAAATATTTTTGTAATGGTAGTGTATTAAATGTTTACTTTGCGTGGGGGACACAATTTCTTATAAGCTTTCTAATTGGAACGCATATACGCGACATGCAACAAATCTGGGCAAAAAGGACGGAAAAATCTAAACAATTCATATGCCACTATGACTTCCAAATGACCTCCAGCAGAGTGGGGTGGGGGCTGGGTGGCAACGGAAAGTGGAAAGTGGGGTGTTCCGGGAACAAAAGAGGAGAACTGCAAGGGCAAACCAACTAGCAAATGATAGCAAATTGTGCCGCATACAGATACACCCAGTAAAATGAAACACACATCGCTGCGCACACGTATTGTATTCCTTCCGGGTGGAAATTGAATTTATCACTTACCGCCCACCGACAAATTGACCTTGTTGGGATTGCTGTCGTCCTTGAAAGCCTGCGTCAGGGCGAAAACCTCAATTGCAGGTCCTTTTTGCACATCGGCGTAGATAGACATTGCGAAAAAGTTGACAAACAAGTCCAAACGGAGCGGCAATAACAAATAAATTAATTTGGAATAGAGTCGGCACCAAAAAGCCAAAATAACAGTGTGGCTGCAACTTGCCAAAGTAATTTCGCCATAAAAGCTCTCTCGATTTCGTTCTCAAAATTATCGATACGTTTATTTGAAAACCGTTAGCCGAAAAGTATGTTAAGTGAAAACGTTTTTCATTTCGAACTCATTTTAATTTTAAATTATATTTTTAAAATAGTACTTTCCTGACCCTAACAGTCTGTTGACTTTTTAAAGTTAAGTAAAGTTATTGACTTATCCAACGAAAGTTCAGAACCAGCTTGAGATTACCCTCAAAACTATTTATTTCGCCATTATACCACTGCCAATATCTGAATCTCAAAAGTCTTCAAATATTCACTCCAAAAAACAGTAACTTGTTCTTATTTTTCAGTAGTGTATTTTATTGCCCCGGAAATCCTTAGTTACTAAACATTGTTAATTAGTTTGGTTTACTTTCAGCCAAATATCAATCTATCATTTTTTGATTGTTTGCAGTCTTTATATGTCGTTTGCATTCGCATTCCGATTAGGCTAGCATTCGATTAGGATTAAACAAAAACACAAACTCGAGAATTAATTAATGCCAATTGTCGTTTAAAATAGTTATGCTGTAATATTCAGTTTTGTTGAGGGTGCAAACACTTTTCTTCCAATTTGTTACTCAACTATCTAAAGCTAGAACTAAAGTTATATTTAGAGTAAAACTAAGGCGTTACGATTAAACTGATTAAATAGACTATGCGCTTATATAATGGCCCGATGCTTATCTATATTTACAATTCATGCGTAAAGTACATACATTTTATTAATATCCAAACTGCAGGCATTCCGCTTTCGATGCCTGAGATAATCTATTTACATTATCCGATCTGAGGAAGCACTGTTTCGAATGCGAATCCAGCTTGAATCTTTGTATGACTTAAAGTTAGCCTAAAATACCAGAGCTAGACCTATCTACGACTACGATTTTAGAGCAGGGCTATTACCTAGCCCTCCACCGTTTACAAGTAAAATGATCTGTGTAATGTTATGACTTGGTGAGTGCCTGTGAGAGTGAGTGTTTGTATATATATCTACAAATCAGTGTGTGGTGTGCTTGAACGTTGGCATGGTGGTCCTTCCTGCTTCCCTCCTCCTTCCTCCTCCAGAGTCCTTCCTTTCCCATTAGGAACTTGAACACTGGGGACTTGTCAGCCGCAAAGTCCCCGTAAGCTTCCAGTACGATCCGATGCGGGATGTGCGTGGTGCGAGTGAGGATATATTAAATTAAAGATGGTTTTCAGTCAGTATCAGTTCACTCGGCATGCCATCGGAGCTCTGAGTGCGCAGCATAACCTCTAGGATCGGCTGGTATTAGGCAATTTGGCCCCGCTGCTGATCCCGCTGCTGTTGTTGAGCCGAGACCTCTGCAAAACAGAGAATTCATACATTAGATTTGCGTTACAATGGGCCGAGAACACGGAAAGCAATGAAGAACAGGGTATTACAAGGGTCAAGTAGCTGAGAGATTAGTAGAACGCAACGATGGAACGCACGCAGAACAGAACGAGGTGACAAAATTTCGAGCATTCCACCTACCAGGAACTGGGGCCAAAAAGTAATCATTCGGTGCCTAGGCACACCTTAAGATTTCATATTCGTGCTATCACGTGCGTTCGCGCAGGGCGATGTCAGTGCACAGGACCAGGCAGTCCGAGTTGAAGGACTCAACGTCCTTTTGCCCGCTGGCCGTGCCAACTGACAACCGCACCGCTCGCGGACCCTGGTCGCCTGTTTAAATTTAAAGTGGGAAACTGGTGAGCCAGAGAGCGGCAGATAAGACTACTTGTGATCAAAAAGTACCCATAGTTTGGAGAAATAATAGTGAATTAAAATAATTGTTACAAAGTAAAAATGTTTTGTATACATTCTGATTATTTTACATCCTATTCAATAGGAATAAAGAGTACTGCCTGGTGCCATTTAAATACAACTTGGTTTAGGTAATGAATTTCGAAAAATAATCCTGATATCTAATATAATGATAATTTTACATTCTGTATTAGGAAGAATGTGGAAAGGATTTGTGTGCATAGTTTATGGCCGATTCTGTCACATCCTATTTACTTTGATATTTCAAATAAGATATCAACTAGGAAGAAAAAGTACTGGTAAATTTACATATAATTCTTATTTGGATTCAATCGGTATATAGTTTTTTTCTGAGAAACTCTGGGTACTTTTCGATCATTATAGATAGATAACAAGCTAGCTATAAAACTACTGCAATCCATAATGTTTACCTTGTAGTCCCCGCGTGGCATTGTACTTGTCCTTGATGATGAAGCAGGCCGTAATCATAAAGAAGATGCCGCCCACCACCTCCACAAAGGTGGTGGAGAACAGTGCGTACTGCAGTCCCTCAAACTGCTCCACATCCGAGTACTAAAAGAGATACAATTGCAAATTAATCAATGTCGTCTATATGTATGTCATGCTTTAATTTACTTCCGTGGAGCTCGAGCCTGACGAGCGCACCGTTTCGATCATGTTGGTGGTGGTCTCAACGATGGCCTGGGTGACATTGGTGATGGCAGTCTCAGCCACTTGGGACATGCTCTGTAATTCAGTGCTCAGACCAGAATCGCTGGGGTTCTTTTTCAGGTGCTTCATGATGGATTCGGATATCTGCCGGGTTTATCAATTTAGTTATTTCAATTTTTAGTTGGTAAACTTTATAACTACTTACCGCTCCCACCAAATAGGGACTTCCGGCATCTCCCAATGCATGTGAGATGAGGATTTGAAAGGCTTCGGCTGTAGAGCGACGTGTGGGTACCACAACATACTATAGTTTAAAAAAAAATACAAAATTAGTATCATTCCAATTTTAATGTCAACGTGCAACAACAACAACACAACGCAAAGCAAAATATGAAAGCAAAAGCCACAACCGATTCTTAAGCTATAACTATCGATTAAGCCAACTATCGGATCAGGTGTAAAAATGTATTTTTTGGAGGCCAGGTGTTAAGACCTTATAATTCTCCTCCAGAAAGTATTCTACACCAAAACCCATGAAAAAAAACCATAGTTGATTTAAATACAAATAAAGTAGCGATTAATGCGTGTGTGGGTGAGCTTGCTTAAGAATGTATCTATGTGTAGGTGTGCCATCCAGCAGATTCAAATTTGCCAAAAGCTCGCCAAAGATGGAGCCACTTGAGAAATTTGGGGACAAACAAAGAGCAGGTCCCCAAAAGAATGGTACATATGTATGCAGCATTGCGTTCTCAGGTTGGAGTCTAACAAAGTGGGAACAGCTGACGAGCCTGGGAACAGTGGGCCCTCTACTTTTCTTTTCTTTTTTAGCGGTTCATTAAGAACTCAAGAACTGAGTTGATATTTAAATAACTCGAGAGTTTATCTTTAAATTGAATGTGGCAATTTGTTGTCTACTGAACTGTGTGGGCCACATTAAGTTTTTACTGTTATAACTACAGGTGAATTGATGGGTTTGTTGTGTGTATTTGTGTGTGGGCTAAAGCGAAAAGCTGAAATTACGCAAAGCATTTATGACATTACACCAGGTTTATTACATTTCCCTTACTGTAGGTCATCGTATAGATAAAGGCAATCGTATAAGATAAAGGCAATCTCTAATCACAGTTGCTTATCTGGGGGGAACAATTAATATAGCGCCACCAAGGTGGGCCAATCGCCTCTATTATTTTTCGGGTTAGATAACCGATTTGCGATTGCTTATTTCTGTCACGGAATCGTTTTGCAATGGCAAAATGGCAACAAAAAAGAGGAACACACGCAAATCAAGTGCGTGGTAAAAAAGGCGACAAAAAACAGCAGAGTTTTGCATTGCAGGGGGTGTGAGTTGGGGAATTTCACGAGTACGAGTACGAGTACTAGGTACGTCTATATGTATCGCCTGACGTAGTGCCAAATATAGAACAGGCCACCAAATAAACGTACGTATATCTCTCGAAAGAATTACGTCCACTGTTTAAATGTGCATGTGTGCTTATGCCATATCCATTATCTTGTCGCACATCAGCTGTTTGCATAGCTTTTCGCGTCCATTCATGGGATTACTTCCACCAATCTACAGGTTTTATCTAAGTTATATATCTTTTAAAATATAAATGCTTATATCATATCTCTTGCTGCACTTCTTTGACACCTTTTGCAGTCGTTTTATCAAACTGGGTTACTTAATCAGTTAAGTTTACTTAATGAAATAAGCTGGGTATCATAATCATATATTTATGGAATAAGGTCAGTTTTGGTACCCTAGATATACAAATTCAATTAAGAAAGCTAAGCAGCATTTGGTTTATGATTTGTTTATATTTTTTTTAAGTTCATTCCCAGATCCTAACTAAATATAATAGCGAGAATTAATGATTCACTTGACTCTACAGTGTTTTGGCTTCTTAATTCCCTTATCATTTGGCTTATCACTTTGAAACGGACAAACGTGACTAGCTGAGCAGATAACCCCCGAAAATCCAATCGTGAGCCAGACGGAAGAACCCAATATAAATACGAACATTTCGACACTTTTGTCTCGTGAAAGGGGCTGAAAATGGAGTGTGGGTGGGTTTGCAATGCAATTTGGGGGATTGTGGTGCTTTAACATGGTTATATGACATTCACTGGGGGTTGAGTGGCGAAATATTTGCACGCTGCAAGTGTTTTCGGGGGTTGGATACTTTCTTTTCCCCACAAAATTTAGCGTAGAGGGATGGAAGTTATAGTGAGAAGATGAAACTCTTAAAGTTGATTACATTTACAAAAAAAAGTAATAAGGCGAAATGGAGTTGTCTTCTCCCTGGGGGAATAAAAATGAACTGTGTGCAATAATCAAATATCCGAGTTACAGACCTTTAAGTTGTAAGAACATCGTCTCTACAACTGCCTTTAAGTTCTCGGGCTTACTGAATTTAAAACCGCACCCAAAAATACCACAAAATGGAGTATCAGATGACCACCACCGGTAATAGATGCGGGTAAAGACAACATAAAATTTGGTTAGTGTTTGTTTGTTTGTGAGTAGGCAAGCTGTGTGTGTGTGTGTTGTGTGGTGTTTTTGTGTATAGGGTGTTACTACTCATTATAACAGTAAAAAGTTAATGCTTAAATTAATAATTTCTGTGTGTAATTACAGTTACGATATTTAAACAATACGTGGGTGCAAAATTACAAAAAGCATTAGGCGGGATTCGAACGAGTCTCCCGTTTTCGAGATCTCTTGGCTTACCAGCAGTATGTCCGCAACAATTGCCCAATTCAAATTTAAAGCTAACTGCCCGAAAAAGATGAGCGCATAGGTGCCCGCCGAATTACTGTTCACCAGGAGCACAGCGCCCGTCAGCATCGGAGCGCTCACGAGGAGCCCAAAGGCGCAGACCACCGGATCCGCAGTCGGATATCGTTTTACCAGGTACTGGGACAGGAACGAGCCCATGGGCACGCCCAGCAGGCCCGCCAACATTGTGATGACTCCAAAGTTGAACGCAACACTAAGGGCGGGTTTTGGAATTTCGGGGTACATTCGGTTAGTTATGCCAAAGCTTAAGGACCCCACTGGCACTACAGCGTGTTTAACCATCTTTAAGGATCTAGACTCTGATGGATAAATATGCTTTCGTGCTGTTCTGGGTATAAACAATTAAACGAGCGGGGGGGGTTAGGGCAAGAAACGGGTCACCACGTTGAGTGTGTAGTCACTAATCGGCTGGCCGGCTTTTAGCTTTTGATTTCTGCGCTTTTGCTGTTGTTGCTTCTCATATATCCACCAATAGGCCATCTTACCAGCAGGATGTCAGCCACAATCGACCAGCACAGGTTAAGTGCCACCTGGGCCACAAAAACGAAGATAAAGCACAGACTCTCGCTCGTCTGCGGAAGCACCAAGGCAGCAAACACCATCGGTGCCGAGATGAAGAGTCCCACCGCACAGATGTACGGATCGCAGTTCTCGAAGCGGCCCCTCAATCTCTGGGCCAGAAGGGAACCCATCGGCACTCCGATGAGTCCGGCCAGCATGGCCACCAGGCCAAACTTGTACGAGATGCTTGACGACGGATCAGAAACCATTGTAAGGCGCACAGCTCGATATTCGATAGTTAAGGGTTTTTTGGGGGTCGTGGTCGATAGGAAAGGCTCAAAACCCCATTTTCACAAACTGATTTCATAGCTGAGATTTCACTTCTTACAAAAGTTGTTATAATCAAGTTAAAAAGTTTGAAATCGTTAGAGAGGCCTTTAAGTAATCTCAGCAAGTCTCGTGAAAATGGGTTTTTTTTTTGTTGATGGGATCAGGGGACAGCACACTTACTCGTCCTGGACGATGTTCTCATTGCCGGGCTGCAACTTCATGCCTAGATAGATGAAGGAAGGTCCCCACCAGGACAGAGCTCCGGCTACGAAGGCCACGCACGTGAATCCCGCCGTGGAGAGCATGAATGAGCGGTTCTTGACCAGGGCCTTGATGTCCTGCTTGTAGGTGGTGGCCTCCAGATTGTGCGATCCCTCGCTGTGACCCCGCTCCGGATCCTTGATGAGCACGATCAGCAGGACGGCCACGATGCCCAGAATGGGTGTGACCCTCAGGGCCCAGCGCCAGTTGTTGGCCAGGTGAGCGGTCTTGGATCCCACAATGTAGCTGCAAGAGAAAGCAAAGGTCATTGATGAGACTGATCCCGATGAATTGACTCTTGGGCCGCGTTGCATTGGCGGCCAATTAGGCGTTGCATAAATTCCAATCAACCCCCCAATTGACCCAGCACTCTAATTGAATTAGAGCCGTGTCAATTGTGGCATTCTCAAAGTAAATCAATTTCAATTTCCCGCAGAGTCACGTGACTCTTCTCACGCTTCGCCAGTGAGAATTACTGATTAGCAAGCAGCCTCAAACTTTGGCCCGCATCGCCTGTTGCCAGCGGTTGATAAGAACGACTACAAAGTCGGAGCCGCAGACGGATGATAACCCTCCCGGATTGTTTACAGATCATTGATCTGGACATTGCCCGGGCAAAGTGGAGGTAGTGCTCACTCACCCCAGACCGGATCCCACGGGTATGGCAAAATAGAACAGCGCCAGCATCTTGGAGCGCATGTCGTGAACGAAGAGGTCCGAGATGATCGTCGGCGCAATGGTGCTGTACGAGGCCTCGCCGATTCCCACCAGTGCCCGGAAGCTGATGAACCATCCGAAGCTCTCCATGAACGATCCCAGCAGGGTGGTGGTGCTCCACAGGGCCACGCCCACCGCCATGATCCTGGGGCGGGAGTAGCGATCACCCAGATAACCGAAGATAGGAGCACACACCATATACGAAATCACGAACACGGTCTGCAGAAGTCCGGCACTGTCATTTCCGATGTCAAAATCCCCACGAACGTCCGTTAGAACACCTGGAAAATAAAAAAGGAATTCGGGTTAGATCATCTTAATGTTTTAAGTACCATTTAAAATCACCATTTGTGTTTTTATTATCAAGGTTAAGTTAATTTTTAGTCATTATCAAAATGTTTTTCATTCAATATCTTTGCTTTCTAATAATAAAAGCTTTGAAAAGTTTGTTTATTTTCCTGGTATAAATGTTTTAAATAAGTTTTAGTAGTTTATAATATAATTAACTAAGTTCATATCCAAGTTTATGGCTTTCAAATGGGAATGAGTTTGAGGTTAAGTCATAAAATGCCATTGCCCCTTAATTTATGAAAGTTGAGTCCATGACATAACTTCAAATTGTTAAGTATCTTAATGCATTTCAGAAAGTGATATGGCGAAAACTAGTTAAATAAAAACCAACTAATATTATTATGTTTTTTCTTTACCATTTTCTTTGTTTGTGGAATGCGCGTGATGTGTGATATGTAACATTGTAGTTTGTACATATCAGCCCATCCCCAGCAGGGGTTGCTAATTGGACAAATAAATAAATCGTAAATACGAGTCCGCTGTATTCGAGTATAACGCCCAAATTGATGGGATCCGTCGGGGAGTTGTCTCTACAATTAGCACTCCCCAGTCGTTTTAGCTCCGGGATGACTGGGAGAAATTTGCGGAAATATCGTGTGTCAAATATTGCCCAAAAAGCAATTAATTAACTCATCGATTTATATTAAATAGTAGCAAAAACCTAAAGATATTGCATACTGGGGAATGAGAGCTTTAATTGATCGTTTATTGTTATTGCAACGCCCACTTATTATCAGCAATCGATATTTGTGGCTGTGACAATCTCGTGCATCTTAACTTATCTAAATATTGGCAATACAAATATATTATCTCATTTTATCACATTGTTAGAGGGTTCATGATTAATCAATGTGACAATCTATGCAATTTTTATCAGTTAGAGGTCGCATATTTAATCTGTAATTGTCGGTCAGTTCCATTTGAAAACATAGTTATTATTGATAAATTGTCTTTATTTTAAATAGTTAAAGAGAATTTCAAACGATTATCATCTATCTGGTGCATCTCTATGCAAATCTGTGTCATGAGTGGAATTTTGATCATTGCGATATAACCTTCGCACACATTTTCTCAGTTATTTCCTGCACGTCTTCACCTAGGCATTTAAAAATTCATTAACAAACGGATGTGCAACCAGCGATTTATAGCCAAACGACCTCCGTCAATAACTGTTAGCCAATCTAACGCTACTTCCTAATAGAATATATGCAGGTCCAACAAAATCAAAACAACAGCTTTAAAGCCCCATTTATTCACATGTCTCTCTTCGTACATTGGCCTTTGAGGAATGGTCGAAAAAAAAAAAAACAAAAATAATATAAATAAATAACTACTTAAAGTGCTTGGGCACCCAAAAATAAACAACGGTCTACAAAATTAAGTGGATGAGAAGGAGAGGGCGGGTAGAGAGAGTGGAGCAAATAGAGAGTTTAAAACCAAGAGAGAGTGAGTGAGATCAGAAGCCGGCAAATTGCAGCAGCAACAATAATGACACACACAAGAGCTCAACAAGTTGTGCCCCAAAAACTGAGAGAGGATAAGAGAGAGACCCGAAGCTCCACGAAACCCCACGAAGCAAAGCAAAACGTGGCACGAAGTTGCCGATGCAGTGAATCAGCGTTTGCTTTTTAATTATTCCATTTTCTGGGTCTTTTTGCTCATTTCGCTTTTGAGAAATTTATCGTACGATGTTTTTCAACCAATCAGCGCGTTTGTTTGCCTTGCCCAGTGACGTAACGGTTGGAGGACGCCACGCGATAAGTCTGTGTGTGTATTGCATTGCGATTGTGGGTTGAAAAGAGAGAGAGCGGGGGCAGAGTGGGGCTGGGTGGGTGAGGCATATGTTTGTATATGACTTATATGTAGGCAGCTATCTCTTACACTCAACGGGTAATCTGGTTCCACGCAAGGAATTCCGATTGTTTATGGCCATTCTTAAAAAAAAACAGGGGCAAAGCGTCTATGATTACGTAGATTCCCCTCCGAATCTGTCCTCTCTTCGCCTAAATTCCCCACTTCCAGGGAAGTTCCGTCAACGTATGGAAACATTAAGTATTTATATTTTTTAGCCGGTTGCCGCAATTTTAGAGCCAGTTTGGATCTCTCATGATTTTCTCTCTCTCTGTGTTGGCCTTTAGTTTGTTCTCCTTTGGTCTCAATAATGATGACAGTGCGATTCAAAATAGTAGGTGATACTTGATATATTTAATATCTTCATGTGTAATTAAACAACACTTTAAGTCGAACTTTCTGGAAACCCAGATAAAGTAAAGTGGTAATAACAAGCCCTTTCTTGCAGAGAAAATCGCTTTAAGAAGTCAAAGTTATGGAACATTATAAAAACACTATTATTATGCACTGACATTGTACTTAAATACAAAATCTTGTGAAAGTTTTACCTTATAACCTTCCGTTACCACTTTTGGCTAGGAGTTAACTTTCGAAACGAGCAGTATTGTAGCGAGGGAAACTCCAGAACGTTGATCCGTTAAAAAGTCAATATTTAAAACCAGGCACTGCAATACACACAACAACAAAGGCGGGACTCTCATTACCATGAATGAAAAAGTTGTTTGTGGTCGAAAGTGACTGTTCTCAGTCGCTCTCTCTCTCTCTTTCTCTCCCCTATCTCTATCTCCCTTTCGGTCTGTGGCGTCTGGTGACGCCGGCCTTGAAATATCGCGCGATATGCAGCGTAAGCTTTAAAATCGGACGATGATTAAACGAAATATCTGACAGATATTTCGAGCACGAATCGGAGCCAAAAAAAAAAAACCACTGAGGCTGTGACTTTCGCTTGGAATGCATTTGAATGCTTTGCGGAGCACTCGAAATGTTGAAAAGAAAAACTTTCTTTTCGGTGGGCAGGTGGAAATCAATTGTGAAAGCGGCGGCGCCCAAGGAAAAGAGTTCCAGACATTCCCTACCCCAACCTGTCGTACTATTCTTCGTTTTTTTTCGCACTTGCCTTCGTTAATTCAATTTGTTTGAGCAAAAAGTGTGTACTGCACTTTGCGTAGGTCGTTGACCCAGATATACATATGTATGTATGCATATGCAGAATAGAACCATTGACGTTGAATAGAGTGCAAACCTCAAACACATTTGTGATAAATGTATGCAATGCATAAGGTACTGGGGTTTTGTAAAACCTGAGGAGCTCGTGTATCTTTAATCTATTCAAATGTTTGGTAAACGTAAGCAGCCGTTTTATAACTTACTTTAATACAAAGTTTCGTCTAGCGTACTGAATACTTAATTGAATTCTTCTACTTTTAAGAAGTAAGACAAACAGATCTCTTATTGATAAAATGTAGTGGGAGGGTTTGTTTTTATAAATTCATAAGTATTTCAAACTTTAATTACATTTGTCTAATTTTTTAGCAGCAGATGAACGTAATTTTTTAAAGTATTTCAGCGGTTAGTTTATTATAAAATATTTTTGTAGAAATCCAATCCAATTGGATTGTCTTGGCTTTTTTTTTGTTACCTTTTCTGTTTATTATTATTTCTTCGGCTGTGGCAACAAAATGGAAAGTTTTTATGTATCTGCTAAAAAAGCATTTCAAGCGGAAATAAAAACCAAACTCAGTGACTTTTAACAAATGCAAAATATGCAAAATAAAGTCAACAACATAAGGCAAGAGAAATGTTTGATTACATTTGGGGGGTTTCAAAACACGAAAAAACAACCGTCAATGATCAAAACACATATTGTTAGACTCTAATGAAATTTGCTAACAAAAACTGTTTTCGATCAATTGACAGATACAATTATTCTGATATTTTCCGTTGGATGGGGGCCAAGAAAATTACGTCGGAAGCACAGCAGAACGGAATCTGTGCCCATATATCTATGCCTTCATTCAGGCCACATATCTGCTGACCAAAATAACTGCCAGAGCTTTGGCCGACCAAAGTTCGCTGGCGGTGCAGAAAGAGATTTTACTGTCAACAACAGAACAACACAGATCACGATCTTGAACGAAGAGGAAAGCCAAATTATGTTCCCAAAATTCAGTGGGTAAAACATCAGACCACCAAACCTCGGTGTTATAAGCTTGAAAACTCAAGCAAAATTCAGCAAAGTCGGAGGTCGCAGCCAAAGGCCAAGACGCACTTAAAATTATAATTAAATGCATTCCATTAGGGTGGCCAGACATCGGGCGATACGTCTATAGGTATATGCAAAAAGAAATACATATAAATGGTATAAAAGTATAACCGTAAGTAAACGTGGTTTTGGTGTCGATCAGCGAATGTCGAAATTCCCATGAAAAAAGGGCAGGCCAATAACGGCAAGGCAATCTAATCACAGCAAAAATGGTGGAAACCCACGTGTATGCACCTGTAATCCAATGCAATTTATTGTGCAGCGATCTGGTTTCAGCCACTTCTTGATAAGGCCTTAAAGTGGGCGGTGGAGTGATGATAATGCCACTGGAAAATGGCAAAATAATAACCTTGAGTGACTGGCCGGTGTTTATTTTAGTTTGTATTTTGCCTTGTGCACCCAGTGCTCTCAAAATAAACACAATCAATTAGGCGCACATGGAAATTTTGAAATTTTCTGAGCAAAGAGTGGAAAAATAATTGAGTTAAATATAAGCAGAGTGTTATTGATGGACGACTGCTGGCTGAGGGTTTGATATGTAAATGTTATCGCCCTTTCCTGTGAGTAATTCCGCTTCCTGTCTGATTAAAAGTCGTATGATTCTTTTAGTCACATTTTGCGGGTGTAACACGAATTAAGAGCTCATGATTTACGGCGCAAAAAGAGTGTAAAATCGATTTCTAATTGTCGTTGAAGCAATCAGTTGATAAGCAACTTGTCATTGCAAATTATTTGCAAGTGCACATACAGTTAAAGAAATTATCGTTTGCCCTTGAATGGAAAAATTCTGCCGACTCGACGGGAAAGTCGCAAGTTCAGGTTCAAAGATATTGTAAAATCGTAAAATTATAGTTATTATCTGTAATAGTCTGGACATGCAAATTAAACGGTTTGTGCAGTGGGCTTGTGTGCAAGCAAACGGGGTGACAAATTCAACTGCTTTTAGTCATAACTTGTTCAACCATGTAATTAGCGCCGTTAAACAAGTTTCCATTTTATTTGCACTGGGTTTTGTGTAACTGAATGTGATACAACCAGACGGGCAATCAGCAATCTGAAGACAACTACTACTCCATTTCAAGACAGATGTAAACAAGGAAAAGAAGTTGAATGGGAAAAGTTTACAGAATTTAACAAGTGTCCAATTGATTGTCCGCCCGCATAGGCAAGTCGAGTCCCATGAATTAAGAGTCGTTTCTCCGCCAATGCCTTTAATAATAAACACTAATGAAATAAGCAGTGGGTCCCGTCCGAGTTTATTTATAGGCCGCAACATGCGATTACCCGGTAATTGTCACGCGGGCGGGGACTTTCTGTTTCTGATCACCACCGATCGGCGATCACCCAACATGCTAAGCCACCAGGCACCAGGTCAGGTGCTATTCCAGCTCCACTCTTTCTTTTTTATCGCACCCGAGTGTTAGGAATAATATATATAATATATGCGAAATGGGGATTGATTGATTGCCACCCAGTGGAAATGTCCCGAGTTGAGTGCAAAGAGGAAGTGGATTCATATATCGACGCATTAGTGGGTGATAAAAACGCTCACCCGAAAGTCTGTTTCAATATTTTCGGATCGCGTGATTCATTTGTAAGCTGATTAGTCACTAAATAAATTCACGCAAATACTACAATAGTAAGCAATCTTTATGGAACTTTTTGTAAACAATAGACCCCTTGTTTTGGTTATTGACTAAGGCACAACAACAAGGACTGATTAGAGGGTTTTTCAGCTAATACAATGAATTTACTAATGATTTTTCAATGGGTTTTAAAATGTTTAATAATTTTATTTTAAAATGTGACAATTGTATTAGCATTTTTTTAAAGCAAAATGGTTATTTAATATATAGTTCGGTTCGTATCCATTTCTGTTTGCTCTTATTTGTTCCAAGTTACCTACTGTTATTAAAAATAATATATTTTTACGGCAAAAGTACCCATTATTTAGTTTGATAAATTTGTGTTTTGCATAAAATATTATTACTACATATACTATTTTTGTTCAACAAGTAACACTTTGAGTTCTTATTTCCTTCCTTTATGAAAAGCATCATGATGCTGTCTCTTACATATAAAGTAATTTAGTGAAAAACCCATTTTTGGGCCCGCATAATCTTGAACCTTATACAAATTTGTTTTTTTCCGTAAGGGTTTCTAATCTACAGTAAACGGTATCTAAATTGTCAACAAATTTAATTATCTGGTGAGGAAACAAAACCCCACTGGACGTCATTAGAAGGCAATTTGTCGCGAAATGAGTGTACTAGTTCAGGGAACTCACCTGCAATCGTGAAGCGGTCCATGTAGTTGATCAGGTTCACGAAACAGAGAACGGTGACGGTGAACCAATGTGACCTTGCCACGGAGGAGAGACGGGAGGGAACGGCGGCGGAGGGCGGGTGGATCTCGGCCAGCTGATGGTGGTGGTGGTGGTGGGTTCGCAGGCGGTGGCGCTCCTCCTCCATGCTGTCCGAATCCGAGGGCATCAACTGTTGTGACGAGTAGGTCACAGGAAGTCCGTCGGGCGAGAGATTTGCCACATCCTCCCGACTGCCGCCCTCCTCAGAGGAGCCACTCCCGCTGCTCCCGCTCTGGATCATCGCCGGGTTGTCCATGGCGGCCGCCGTTGGGAGCGGTTGGTACAATTTGTTCTGGTGCTTCAGCGACATCCGAATCCGATCCTCTCTGCTCTCTGTTCTCTGTCCTCTTTGGCTTGGAAATTCGCAGCAGACAACGCGGCAAAAGTTATTTGCACACGCTTCTCTTCTCTTCGCTCACTAACACAGTGAAAAACTCGCGATGAAAGCGGTGGGCAAAGCGAATGCAAAAGAATTTGGCACAGCTTTATTCGCTTTTCTCTTAATCACTCTCGCTTATTTATGACCAATCGGACTGTCTATTGACAACTGTTCTTAAGGCTTGTCTAATCGCGGCCGTACTTTAAAAATAGTCAGTGCAGTTGCAGTGCTTCCTTTTTTATTTCTTCCGCGACGCGAACGCGAGTGTGTCCAATTGAAGTCGCCCCAATAGTGTGCCCGCTAGAGACCGCTACCTTTTCCCTTGTCGTTTTCTGACGCGCTATTAGTGTGACCATCACGACGCGTTAAGGGATTTCTGGAGAGCAATGTCAAACTCTTATTAATTTAATCCAGCCCTGAGCCTCTCGTTTGTTTTGGCGCTTGAATTCAAAAATAAACTATTTTAAGATGTCAAGATTTGCTTTATTGTAAAGTGCGGTGCTAAAGTAAATGCTACTAAAAATTGGATTTCTAATTAATGTCAATGTCATCTAGACGTCCACGCACGCGATTCTTGCGCTTGTGCTTTTTAGTGGGTGGTGGCAGGAAACTCTCCAGGAATTCAATGGTGTTCATTATTGTCTCCGAGCTCACATTCCCAATATAGTTCTTGTCAAAGTAGACAACTGGAACAGGCGCCTCCGTCGAGAGGAGCAACTTGTCGCAGTTGCAACGCTTATCCTTATCCTGTCCCTGAATTTTGGCATTCAGGGCCTCTACATCCACATCTGTGGTGGTGTTTGATTTGTCTAAAACGGGGATTTAATTAAAAGTTGACCTATTTATTGACTGATTTCCTACCCACCGAACAAGGGGCGAAAGCACTCCTTGACCTGAATCCACTTGGTGCAAAACTGCTTGATGAAACTGTCGTTGTTGTGGAAAAAGTTTCGGGCAGCATCGTCTACACGGTATTTCATGAATCCCGGCACATACGGCCACTTTCCATTGGCGGCATAAAAGCAAATAATGTCTAAAATAAAATTTAAAATTTTAAATATTTTTTTTATAAATATTGGATATACATCTGCAAACAATACTAATCGCCACCTTAAATCGTATTAACTTATTATGGCCTACTTTTAGGCAAATTGTGTTCTGGTGAAATGTAATACTTTTTGACAATCGAGTAAAAACGACAACTAAATACAAAATTCAAATAAAATGTCAGTTGACTTTTCAAAAAGCTTATTGGCAAAGCATTAACTTATAGATTTTAAATGTTCGGTTAGGTTGTGTGGTTTTCAAAAATAATAGTGATTTAATTTTTATTTGTGACTTTGTGATACAATACTCAACTCACAGGGCACGTGAAAAAGGTGCAGAAATGTGCGCTGATGCTCCAGACTCGAGATCAGGTGAATGCCGCTGGACCGACGACTTGCCAGGACTTGCTTTCTTCCGGCAAAAGGAATTTCGTCTACCCGCACACTTTTCATATACGCCTCGCCCACTGTGAATAGAAAGCCCACCAAAAAAAGGGGCAGAATGCGCCAAGCGATTTTCCGACGCAGTTCCATAGTCGAACTTTCCACTCGACAGCAACAAATGCAACTGACGAATGTCCTGCAGGAACCGTCAAAAGCATGAGTGATTCCGGTGCGCTTTATTGATTTGAATTGCGCTCGAGGTTGACATATATCCAGGCACTTGCATGTGCTAACGCAATTGGCGAGGTATTAAAGTTCACTGCCCTTTTGAATCATAACTTTCAGCATGTTCCAATTATCACAACTCGCACTGCTAAGTCACAGGAAATGCAGTATGTAAATGGCTCAGTCATTAGCTTACATATTACTCAATAGTTACAAGATGCCCAGATAGTTCGGAACAACTATAAATAATCAATTGATTTACAATTGTTACATATCTAGATGGGGGAAAACTTCGATCGGATTTCTCATTGCCGCCACGCGTCGTATACTTAATTTGCCGGCAAAACCTGCTTTCATTGCAAACTTTTTCCGCCACTTCCCCTCAAACATTGTTAGAATGCCGCCATAGACTGCACGTGTTGCAAATTTACTTCATGGCTTATCAGGTTTGGCACAGTTCAAAAAATAGGAAAGCGAGACAAACAACCAAGGTATTTTCTTTTCATATTCTTATGTAAGCCTCAGACCTAAACGAACTACATTAAAAGTAGTAGTAGTATTAACTGAAGTCAACAAATATTAACTTTTGCTTCTTAGAGATGGTAAACTTTAAGTTTATTTTCCTAAAACATTAACTGTGGCTTAATTTTATATTCTACGTATTTTCAGGTCCAAAAATGTGTATTTTGATCAATAAACCAAGTTTAAGACTCAATTGACTGGTCATCTAATATGAGGGACCAGAGTTTAACCCTGTTCGTTTGGAATTCGCTGGCCACGTTAACCTCAAAACCTTTTGATGGAGCTGGCGCATTGGAGAATTCCTGGTAATCACAAATTCCGTTGGGACGTGACTGCAGCACCTCAGTGGAACAGGGGGTCAGTGACTCGACATTCCTCGGTTTTCTACGAAAAGCAGTGATTCGTTTATTAAATTACCCTCCTACCCGTTCGTCCCACATTTTTATACTCACCCAAACTTGGCGAAGTGCACGAAATAATCCACAAAGGAGTGGATTACCTTTGCCTCCGTGGAGTTCCGCACAAAGTCGGGGAAAATAAGAGGACTACGGAATAGATAGAGGAGATCATCACAGTGAACCACTCCGTATTTGCCACTGACATTGGCGGATGTGTAAGCAGAGGCGTAACTCAGGGGTCCTCGGTAGTTAAAGCTGTACAGGTAAACAGGATTCGATGAATGGCAGAGATCCTCGCGAATGGTATTATAAAGGGGCTGCTTGAAACCCCTATCGGAAATTAGCTGGCAAGAAAAAGAAAAATCAATTAATTACTTATTAATAAATGAAAAAGTAAATATATAAAATTTATAATTAATTTTGCAGAAAAGGTTCTTATTAAAAACTATAATTACCACAAAATAAAAAGCCTATTGATTAAGAAAGCCACCTTGACTTTTTTTTATATTGAATAAGTCATAAGTTGACCGAAAAAAATAAAAAAAAATTGTAAATGAACTTATAATTTAAGAAAAGTATCTTGTTAAAAATGAAAGAGTCAGCTTTTAGAACATAATAATAAATTGAATTTTAAATAAATCAAAAATTCAATAGAAGATCGAACAAAATACTTATTGTAATGATAAATGTTTAAGAAAATTATTTCAAATAAAAAAGCTACTTTGACTTTGGCATTGTTGAATAAATTCCTTAGTAAATAACCTGATATATTGTTATAACATACAATGTGCTAAGATAGATTGGATAACAGATAATAGTGTCGTTTAGTTTACCATAAAGTTATACGAACGGTTTCCACTCACATCCATAAATCCCTGAACAGTTTCCTCGTTGACTTCGTGCTGGCCCTGAAAGTACTCTGCCACCAGGAGTTCCATGCTCTGGTTGAGCCGATCCTGGCTGAATTTGGGCGGGAACTCCATCAGCTCTTGGAGAAGCTCATCGAATCGGGAGTTGAAGCCCCGGCGAAGCGTCTCGTTGCCCAGGATGTTCACCACCCGCACGGCACCTTCCCCTGGAACAGTTCCCAAAAGCAGGGGAATAGGAGGTCGTGATCCTCGAGCCAGGATATCCTTGGGATGCTCGCTCAGGAAGGCCTCGTTTCCCATTCCCCTTTCAACCACGGGTCGAAAGTTGGTCATGTGATCCACGTCCCAGAATTTAAGGCCATCTCCGGCATCCAGAAGTTTGGTGGCGTCCACCCTGCGCAGGGCTTTGGTTAACTTGGCAGTGCTTAAGTTCCTGGCATTCGGCACCTGGGCAAACTGCGCCAGGAGACGAGTCTGCTCCAGAGGCTGTTCCGCAATGGCAAATGGCACATTGGCCGTGCCACTCATGCTGATCACCCGATGGAAGAGACCCCGAGATCTGGGACTCAACAGGTGCAGGTGGGTGGCCACACCTCCGGCACTCTGTCCGAAAATGGTCACCTTCTGGGGATCGCCGCCAAAGGAGCGAATGTTGCGCTGCACCCAACGCAGGGCCAAGTTCTGATCCTTTAGGCCAAAGTTTCCCGGCATTACAGCATCCTGGGTGGAGAGGAATCCTAAGAAAACAAATTTTAAATAATTTTCATTTACTCAGTTAACAGAAGCTCACCAAAGGGTCCCAGTCGATAGGCCATGGTCACCAGGATCACTTCTCCGGAGTCCATGAAGTACTCAGGTCCTGACACTCCTGGTCCTGCAGAGCCACCAAAGAAGCCGCCGCCATGGATGTAGACCATTACAGGTAATGGCGTTTTTCTGACCTACATAAATAAAATCATAAGTCAAATCAAGTTTAAAATCTTTAAGACTAAGGCCGAAAAATGTTATTAGTTTTAATCTTAAACTCATGCATCTATAATAACAATAATTATTTTTATTTGTTGAACATAAAAAGCTTGCCATTATGATAGCCACAAAATCAATTGAAATATATAATTTCTTAGCTATTGAAAAAGAGTATATATTATATATTTTCAAACCTTCAATGAACATATATATATATTTTTTTTTACATATGCTCAGAATCTATGATTGATTTTGGTTTTTTTTATATTTATCAGAAACTAATAATTATTTGCTTACAAAAAAAATAATACTTGTTATTTGAGCACCTATACAGCTAAGAATTATTTTAATTTCTTTCCTTATAAAAAGTATTAAAAAAATTATTTAATATTAAGATTTAAGACCACTATCAAAATAATGATTCTCACCTCTGGTCTGTAGACGTTTAGGTAGAGGCAATCCTCCTCTCCATAGACAACAGGAGTGGGCAGCAGATAGTTCTTCTGGATGCAGTCCATCCTGGGCTGACTGGCATCGTAGACGCCCGGCAACTTGGGCATAACCTTGGGGTTCTGAAAGAAAGACATCCCATTACGAAAGGAGTTTTTTAACGGAGGAACCCCCCACACCACACTCACACTGAATCGCAGATCTCCAACTGGCGGAAGGGCATAGGGAATGCCCATGAAGGCCTCGAACCGCTGGGACTGATAGCCCTGGCGATGGATGCCCTTCAGGCAGCCAACGCTGGGCGGGCACACAACGAGCTGGAGCGATGGCGGCCCGGTGGCCAAGGCCATGGAGAAGGGTCCAGGGCCAGCGGAAAGCTGGCCAAGAAGCATCGGTGGCAGCAGCATCAGCATCAGCATCAGAGCCCGTGGTTGAATCATCGCCGGCGGTCCACGAAGTGACTGAAAACAGAGCTAATGGATCATTAATTATGCATATCGATTGGTTATTTATGATCAATTTTGGGGCTTCCACCACTTCGTTTTGATTCGCCCAAGATGATGTCAACATTAAAACGGTCCGCAGATGGATTTCAAAACAATGTTCACTCACTGCAATTACTGGTTAATTGGGAGAAAATCTCACGCAGAACCTTCCGCTACTGAGGCCCAAATCGATCTGACGGCTTTCGAGGGCTCGCGTTCACTTTAATCGTGAAGAAAACTTTGCTCTATCGTAGTGCCTCTCTGCCCACAATCTTGAAACACACCGAGTGACTGAACGCGCTGTGGAAAATTTATACATTATGCAGAGCGCAGGGCGATCGACGAGCTGCGGCTGCGGCTACGGCTGGAGAACGGTTCACACGGCGTATGCTTGATCAGAGCGGATATCAATTGATCTGGAACTGCATCGAGCATGGCAGCGACCTCCGTTTCCGAACGAATCTGGTTGGGGCAATTTAAAACACGCGCCAGAACGACTAGAAAGTCGCAGCACTTACCCTGGTCCGCTGGAGTCCGCGACTTGCCATCAACTGCGATCGCTTCGGGCTGAAACTTTCGCTTTTATCCTGTCAAGCCATAAAATATTACCATCAATGCAGCCCAAAAGTCTCCAAAAAGAAGCGCATTTAACAGCAGTCACAGAGTTTACTAACCATCTTTTAAAATCAAAACGAAACACTATTTTATGACTATGTTTTCCAGTCCATATATTGAGATAAGACCTTTAATCAGCAATATCTTTTATGGCCTTATTATTGGCCAATAAAATCACACCTCCGTCATTAATAAACATTTTATTAATAGCTTGTTGTATCTGGGTAGTAAAGACATTATTCTAATGAGCGCCTATTTGGAACATTCTTCGTTTAAACAGGTGTTTGGTGATCACTTACTTTTGTTTTTATCCTCTTATGAGAAACGTCACGCTTTCACTCTCACTTGTCGTGCTTCAACTTTGGTCTGTAATAACGTAGAATTTAATAATAAAGTCTCCAAGCAGATGGTTCCCCTATCGCGTGAGATTTATTACTCCCCGGATCGACGGCAATCTTATCTCACCGCATGTCGCCGGGCCTTTTATTCGCACTTAATCTCGTTTCTTGCACATTCTGCATATGTAAATTGACCTTCGAATGACAATTGGGGAGATGGGGTAGCAGACTTTTACAAAAAACGGAGCGCAGACGGAGCTCAATGGAATTCTGGGGTATTTTTAACAGATCCCATTACAAGATCCGTTCCATATCGCAAATTAACGAGGTTTATTTAGCTCACTCTTATTATAAATTAACCCTTAACAGCTGGAATTGGGTCGGGAATTGGGATACAACATATATGGTATTTCTTTATAGAAATAATTTTTTCCATATGGGAAAGGCTGTAAGTTTTATGCTATTCCAAATATGTTCTTCGTATTTTTCCGTGGTGCCTCCGAAGTGTAAATAGTTGCACATTTTCTCATCCTCAAAATCCGAGGCTTTGCAGGTAGCATCTTCATAAAATATCCTGAAGGGATCGAGTATATCATTACCCATGAACTTGTGGAGATTGAACAACTCACCCCGTTTTGGCAAAGTCTGCTATCAGCGAAGTCAGTCTTTGGGCTACTTTGGCATCTAACGAGTCCTTGGGGAAATCCTTGTAGAGAAATGGCAACCTAATGGTGTGCAGACCATCGTCCATGTGAGCTGCTCCCAATCCAAAGTCCTCCTGTGTGGAACCACCGAAAAGAAGCGTTATGGAGTGCAGACCTCCAAAGTCAAAGATATACATGGACAGTGGATTCTCTGCCAGATTGGCATAGCTGGCATATGAGGACACTGTTTCATAAATCGGATAGTAAAAGTTAAAATCCCCAGAGATTTCGGCCAGAGCTATCATCGTGTCGTTGTTAAGACTGTCTCCCTGAAATTTATATGCATCCAGTATTTCTCTGACCATTTCTGGAGAAGTTCCCCTGGGAAGACTAAGCGCCAAGGCCATATGTTCTAGGAACTTCTCATTGAAGTCTATCATACGTTGAGGATCCGTGAAGGAGCGCAACAAGGTCAGGGAACCCTCGCCAGCTCGAGAATTGATGCCTATTGCCCAGGGCACCTGGTTAATCCGACCAGCCAGGTGGGCTTTCAGGGGATCTTCAACCAAAAAGGCCTCCGAAGATCCAACGTCCTCCAAAACAGGGACACAGTCTTGCTGAGGCACACCATCAAGGATCTTTAAGCTGTCTACACTGAGGAGAAGTTTCATGGGACACCCGTCTCGAAGAGCTTGGGCCAGATCCTCGCTACTGAGACTCTCCGCCTGATCGATGCCCATCTCAATGGCCAACTTCCTGGCTTGACTCAACGGATCCTTAAGGACCTTCACGGCTGGAATAAATGCTGTGCCAGTCAAGGACATGGCTTTTTGAAAGAGGCCTACACAGAAAATGGTAGATGTAAATGTGTGTTGCGTACTAAATAAGTTAACTCACCTTTGGAATTGGGACTTAGCATATGCAGATGTGCGGATATTCCTCCTGCACTGTGCCCAAAAATCGTGACCATCTGAGGATCTCCTCCAAATGTAGCTATATGTTTCTGGATCCACTGCAGGGCCAACCGCTGATCCTTAAGTCCGAAATTACCGGGCATGTACTCATCACCGGTGCTAAGGAATCCTATAATTTATAAATTTTAGTAAATTGGTCACTGATCATAAACTACTGCACTAACCAAACGGACCAAGGCGATAGCTTACTGTTACCATGATCACCTTTCCGGTATCCATCAGGTATTCGGGACCACTGGCCATTGGATGGGCAGAACCACTAAAGAAACCTCCCGAATGTATGTAGACCAACACAGGCATGGGATTGTCATCTCTTTCCTAAGAAAAATAGCATTGCAGAAAAGCAACCAAAAACCCACAGTTCTAAATCCATAACTTTTTATTCAAGCATCCAATTTCGCAGTGGTATATCTTAAAAGTCTTCTGGCTTAGTTCTCTAAAAATCTGCATTTAAAACTTGGTTTGTAATTTCGGTCCGATTTTTTGAAATTTTTATGATGTAACCCCTTTCTAAATCTCCGAAACAATCGTCCTTGCAGAAAAGTGACCCAAAACCTACAGTTATAAATCCATTACTTTTATTTCAGGCTTCCGATATCAAAGTGGTATACCTTGAAAGTCTTGTGGCTTAAGCCTCTAACAATCTGCATTTAAAATTTGTTTTGAAATTTAAGTATTATAAATAATAAACATTTTAAATAAATATTAGTTACATAAATGTGCCCCCAGAAAAAAATTATGTTTTAGGTGGCGCCATCTGCTGAAGTTCCATTTAACCAACTTCAAATTTGCTTATAACTTATAAATTATTTGTTCGATTTTGAAAATTTATGGTGATAGATATTTACAAAATAAACATATACGGCCTAAAAACTGATCTCTTATATGTCTGAGAATGACATGACAGGGTCTAACGATTTTTAAACGTTAGATTGATCGTGTCCAAATTTTGAACGGACGGACAAACGGCCATGCCTTCTTGACCGGAATATTTAATCTTATGTTACCTCTGACATACTTTTCAAAGAATACAAAATTTACCTTTGGTCTGTAGACATTCAGGTAGAGGCAATCCTCCACGCCCATAATATCTTTGTCGTTTGCAAAGTAGTTTCTCTGCAGGCAGCTGTCCTTGGCCATTCCAGCATCGAGTACTCCCTCCCAGGCAGCCGCCGGCACGGGATTCTAGGAAGAGATTATTATCTAAATCCTACAGAGTTAAATATTGCCAAAAACAATCCACCTTAAGGCGTAGCGGTCCAACTGGTGGCTGGGCAAAGGGAATGCCCATGAAGGCCTCGAATTCTCCACTCTGAAATCCTGGCATTAAAGTGCCTCGCAGACAGCCCATGTCCTCCAAGCAGACATCCAAGGAATCGCCAAAGGCGACAGCTACAAAAACCAGAGCTCCCACTCCGATGAACAGCATCTTTATTTGACAGCACTGTGCCCAATTGCAACCTACTTTTATACTCAATCTGAATGGTTAAGGTGGTGTCAATACATGTAATCATGTAACGAACTGAAAACAGCAATTGTCGAATCCTAAAAGGTTTTTATTTCTGTATTTAAAGTACAAAAGCGAGGGTAAGCTGCCGACCAAAGCTAAACGTATATGATACACAGATAATATGACGTCGATATACCCTAAACACGCATTCAAGCTGAGCTTAACGACTAAGAGGTATAATTACAAGTATATAATGTCTATATAACATGGCGATTTAACTAACAGTGAACGATTCGATTTGGACAAATTGATCTAAATTACAGCCTTTGAAACCGGAACCATTTATAGAACTATGATCAAATGGGTGTTAAGCTGCGGCGCTGTGAGGGAGTCAGTTCCGGATGCCACATGTCCAGGATGAGCACCAGGCGGGCATGGCTTCCATTGTGCCATACCTCATGTTCGAAGCTGTCGTCGAATATGAAAAGTTCGCCCTCACGCCAAGTTCTGTAAAAGAGAGAAAATTAAAAGGATATGTTAATGATATATTTTTATAACCTTGCAGAGGATAATAAAATGTATAACTTTGTGGTTTTAAAATGTATAAAAATTAACTCCGAAGTATAGTAATAGTTTACAATTTCAGAGATACAGTTTAAATTTTATAGAAGTTCGACAGCGATGTCATATAGCTTTTATAAAAACGATCTAAAAATTGAGCGGAAAGTCGACATAGCTTCACTGTTTTAAAACATATACGAATATATAAAATGTAATATTTTTAATAGCTTCAAAGGTGTTTAAATCAAAGTATGCTTATATTTGTTTTCTAACCTTTCCTGCTCTGCCACTCGTAGAGAAGTTTTTTCCGGCTCTGGAGCAACTAGCGTGAGGTGCGCTCTCAGGCGGCAATTGGTGGGTCCGCAGTGCGGCCACACATGCGTCTTGGCCTGCATCACACTGAACTTGACCTGGCCGCGACGACAGCCACCGGATTCGGGGAACTCCTGCAGCAGGCTACAGGTGATGGGGGTCCTGCGGCAGTTGTCCTTGACCCGGTGACCTTGGGCATACAGTTCGAATTGCTGCCAGACTCCTTTGTCGCGCAGTTGTTCCGCTTCGTCCTCGAAGAAGCCACTTCTTCCCAGCAGGGCCAGCCCCTCATCCCGAATGGCGCGCCAATTGAGCTGCAATTTCTCCAACTGCCGTTCGTAGCCCGTCTCTGTGGGCTGCCAAAAAGGCTGTGCCTTGAGCCTGGGCTCATTGTACAGTGATCTCTGATAGAGGCTGGCAAAGAACCCCTTGGCCACACCCTTTCTATAAACATCCAAAGCCTCTGACTGCCTGGACAAGCGCTGAAGGGTCTCGCCCAGCGACAAGTAGAAGAAAGCCTCCTGGGTGCCCTCTTCCTGGGACTCCACCGCATATTTCAGATAGGGCAGAGCCTTCTCGTAGTCCCCACGAAGCTGTCTGAGAGCCAATCCGTAATGCAGTTGAGCCACTGCATTGGTGGGCCAATCTTTCAGGGTCTCCTCAGCCACCTTTTCGACCTGCTGAAGACTGAAAGGCAATCATAAGGCATTTGAGGTTAAAGGTTGCCCGTCTCACCTACTTGTTGACCATGAGATGGGTGAGGGAGAGTTGGTTACGCAGTCGCGGATCCTTGGGCAAACGATTGATGAGCAGCTCATGAATTGTGGTCGCCTGGCGGTGGTAGCCTGAAAATTAACAAGCCATTAAAACATGCTCTAACAAGACAAGAATCCAACTTCGAAAAGCCATACTTTATACACCTTTTTACCTGCAATTACCCTCTGCAAGGGTATAGAAAGTAAGGACATTTTTGTACTCACCCAAAAATCTCAAATTCTCAATGCAGCTTTCGCCGGCAGACGTGAAGTCATGGTCACTGATGACCAGCTCGCCAAAGGCCAAGTATCTCTTGTAGGCATCGATGGCTTCCCACAGGCGCTTGTTGCTTCTCTCTTCCTTGGACAGAAGCTCCAGGACACGGGCTCTTCCCAAATGGGCCAATGGCTCGTGGGCAAAGTTGGTGGTGAGCGTGTTAAAGGATCGCAGGGCTTGGGCATAGTTCTTTTGGGGGTGGATATTAGTTCGCGGTTCGCCAGCCAAAACACAAAAAAAGGGGTTAGACAAGTACAAGAAACATGCAATTAGTACAAAATCATTCTATCATGAAACGAAACGCAGTTGCCAGGGGCTTAAAGGATGAGCCCATGACCAAAGATTCCCCCTAGTGGGTGTGTGTTGGTTGGCGGAACTGGCCATGAGTTCATCCCATCGCAATAAGCCCCCTGAAAAGTGCGTTTCTACAAATACATGTCTAAGGTTATATCTTAGTTTCTCTTACATGGCTAAACAGTTAGAAGATCTAATGAACTTGACAAGCAAAACATAAACTAAAGCTTTGAAATGAGTGGTGTTTTTTGTTGTGATTTTCTTTAGTGATTGTTGAGCTGGAGATATATCGAAGGTATGTCAAAGTTCCACGGGTTAATCCTGGTTAAAAAGACACCGTCATCGATTGCCACCTACCTCCCTAATCATCTCCTCGTTGGCCTTTCGCAACTCCTGCTCAAAAGGATCCTCCTTTTCCGCCGCAACAGGGGCAGCTTCATTCGGATTGATTTCTGTTTGAAGATGAAAACCCAAATTAGAAGGGGCATTGACAATAAACAATTGTGTGAAATTTTGAACGGTTAAGGCCTAAAGTGCTCCACCTTATGTGAGTTGTTAGTTTGTTTTGTCCTACAGCTAACACTTACGATCTGTTATGTAAAGCGATCGGATTGTCGTGTGTCTTAAAGTACAGTGTTTGCGATAACTTAAGTGATCGTTTGAAAGTATGTCGGATGGGGAGTATGAAGTCGGGTGGTCATCGACAGACTTGGTGATTTGTGCGTTTAGTAATTACGTTCCCAGTCGGAGTCGTCGGAATCAGAATAAGTGTCGTTTTTCTGGACGGTCAGACGACCGTACTTGGCCTCAAGCCGGTTCATCAGATCGGCGTCGTCCACGTCGGAGATCTCGTCCTCCTCGTCGGTGATCTCTTCATCGCTATCGTAGTCCTCGCAGGGATCATTCTCGTACTCCACATAGATATCGCTTGGACCGGCCTGCTGGTCCGGTTCCTTTTCCTTCTCCTTCTCCTTCTCCTTCTCTTTCTCCTGTTCCTTCTCCTTTTCCTTCTCTTTCTGCTCGGGTTTTGATTCCTTTGGCGGCTCCTGGGCAAACTTATACATGGCGCTCAGTTGCTCAAAGGTCTCGGGCACATAACTGGCCATGGAGGCCACATTGTCGTCGCTATCGTGTCGTACCTCTTGCTCCTCCTCGTCCTCCTCGATGTCGCTGATCTCCACCTCGATCTCCTCCTCGATTTCGATTTCCTCCTCGGAGTATTCTTTTTGGACAGTGGGATATGACTTTAATTAGAACCCTGGACTTGGCCAGACTTATCACATATCTTATTTCGCCTCCAGATCACTTGGCAATCAAATGATCTGAACGCAACTTCGGCTGGCCGAAGTTTAAGATTAATAATTCAGATCTCCAACCATCGTCCAGCAGGGGCAGTTCCTCCACATCGTCCGGTATGTGATCCTCGGCCGTGGCAATCGTCAATCTCCGCCTCATTATGACCTCTGGTGTGGGCTCATCCTCAGCTGCGCATTTCACCACGGAAGATTCGAACGTTATTCGAGTTAAGGGATTATTAATCGAGCAAGAACATACATACATACATACATTGGTGGAATAATTTAAACAAAGCTGTGACTACAATCAGATCCAAGAAATAATACAAAATCATAATCAAAATAAGCTAATTGAAGAAAGTGCAAAAATTAATGAGCGATATTGCCCCAGAGTTTGTTTTAGTTCTGTTAATACATCGAGAATCGATCACGAGACAGTGAGATCAGTTTTTGATTCTACCAATTGCTTGGTGGGTTAGAATGGAAAGCGGCGCTTAGTAATGATTACTCAAAAGATTCCTCCCGAGAGTAGGGTTTTTTCGTTAGCATAACATCTGGCGTGCTTGGCGGATATAGATATCGATATAGAGATCAAGAGCATAGAGCGGAATACAAAGAGCGGAGATTTGGGGGGCAGATCAGCATTGAAGACTCACTTGTATTTGGACTTTTCCTTATCAATACAAGGCGTGAAACTAAGGCAAGTGCAACGCCAACGCCAAATTTAACGGCAACTGTAAATGAGTCAGGTTTTAGTATCAGAAAACAAACAAATACCTTTTGCATTTTCTTGTACAATTTGGGTTTCTGTGTTTTTGGTTTTTGTGGGTGTTTTTCTTTTCTTTTCTTTTTTTTGCGTAAGGTGGAGCAATTCTGTCTGTCAGTTCTTAAGGTTCTAGGCTTGAGAGATCCGTTAACCGTTCAAAGTGTTTATTCCAACCCTACTTACGTGAGGCCAACCAAGAGGAGCCCTCTTCTTTGGGCTCCTCGTCATCATCCTTGTCCTGATCCTGATCTTCCTGGCTATCTACTGCTTGTTTTGGCTCCACTTCCTCGGGATCGTTTTCAAACTGCTGATCCAGCGACTCAAAGTCGTCGTCATCTGCATCGTCATTGTTTGGTTCCTGCAAGAAATTTTTAAATTAGAACATAATAGAACTGTAGACGTACTATTACTTACCTCATCTTCGTCATCATCATCGTTATCATCTGGGGCGGGAGAACTTTGTGCTGCAGATTGAGATCTTGGCGGCTCAACAGACTCTTCGACTTCCTGCTCCTCTTGGTCCTCCTCGTCCTCATCCTCCTCTTCCTGCTGTAGATAGAACATTGAATTTTATATACTTATAATTTTTCAGAAATTAAGGATATCTACCTCTTCAGCTTCTGATGGTGGGGCTTCAGTGGATTCTACTGCGTCTTCATCAGCTTCAGCTTTCTCCTCTTCCTCATCTTCAGCTTCATATTCGGCGGTAGCTTCCGTAGTGGCTTCAGTCGTGGCTTCTACAGTGGCCTCCACAGTGCCTTCTTCCTCGATGTCCTCCTCTTCATCTTCCTCTGCATCTTCGCCGGTTATGTTTTCACCGGCATTATTGTCCTCATCTTCGTCCTCCTCATCTTCTTCATCTGCTTCTGGTTCCTCCTCCTCAGCTGGCTCCTCTTCATCCTCTTCTATTTCATCTTCTAATTCTTCCGAAAGAGGTTCTTCTTCTGAAATGGTATGGTGTTGAGAGAATGCAACAACAGGAAAGTTGTATTACCAACCTTCTTCATCATGATCATCGTGCTCATCGTGCTCATCGTGATCGTCGTGATCATCCAAGGCTTCTCCCGAGGGTTCATGCGCACCGTGGGCATCGTGGTCATCTCGATGTTCATCCACCCAACCATCAAAGACTTTCGAGAAACGTGACTCCGACAATGGAGTGTCCACTAAAGAAAATCGTTTTTAATATAATATAATAATAATAACATTCTTATAATTCCATAACTTACGATCCTCCAGTCCACGGTTCTCCATGATGATCAGACCCACCAATCCCAGCAGCACGGCCATCAGAGCGAAGAATATGATCTTGGCACACCAGTGACCCCCGGTTCCGTGCTCGTGGTGGACGTGCAGGTGGAGATCTTCGTTTCCCATCTTCGTAATGTGAACGCCGTGCGAAGATTCGTCGTCATCTGAGATCGCAACGTTTGCATGATAGTGAGTTAACAATAAACACATGTGAGATTACAAACACTTTAATTGAATGCACCTTCAGGCGGCATGGATTTATAAACTGTGCGAGACATTAAATTGGTTTGGCATTATGCATTCAGGGGTTTGGTAGGGGGGTGCTGGAGATAAGATCGAGATACAGGGGATGTTTTTTCTAATACCTTGAAAGCTGGACTGACGCAGAACAGTCACATCGCCCTCGGACTTGCGATCATCTAGACAAAAAATGTTAATTACGATGAGACATACACCGGCTTTGCACACTGATAAGAGGACGAGGGGATGATTTGTTTATGCCTAAATATGCGCAACAATAAACAAAGAGGCTTCTTTGCCAGTCATGCTCTTGGGCAGATGGCCAAGTGAAAAATAAATTACTTTACATATAAGAACCGTGGCTACTTATTCGGTGCGGTGGGTGTAATGGCCCCAGCATTTTATTTTCACGGAAGCATCATATCTAGATCTTCTTGATCTCTCTGTTGCATTGAATTTAATTTGCCGCCGAGGTGACTTCACTTCCCGCGAGGTGAGTTCTCCATTGGAAAAGAGAATTCTCAGGAGAATTATCTCCCAGAGAGAATTTGAAAGAGAGCGACAGATAAGAGGATATCCCCAGGGACAGGAAACATCTGTGTTTGCCGCGGATAGATATATATATCATCGTAAAGATAAATCAAAGAAAACCACTCTCTCTCTATTTTCGATTTTTGCAGCCCGATTCAATGCCCTTCTGAAATATCCACTTCTTCTTGGACCCCCGCACACACGTCATGCATATATTTTCCTGCTCGATCGGCACACGCATAGCGACAGAAAACAGGCGAGATGTATAATTTTATATAATAGGGCAAAGTTATTTTTAAAGGCACTCGACAATATTATTATGCTAATAAAAGAAATGAACTGCTTGCTACGCGATGGCGGCGGCCGCGAAAGAACCAATTTTACACTAAGTAACGGTTAATCCGTTGGAAATGGAAAGTGGAAACTGGAAAGTCGAAATCTTACCGCGTTTCCGGCGCTTATCCTTTCGCTTTCGCGGCTGCACATCGCCCGACATTTTGCTCGACAGGCACTAAATGTATGCCAATTCGATAGATGGAGATGGAGCGGTTTGTTTTTCCTCTTCGAGCGGAGCGGGCAAAGCGGGCGATCTTGGTCGGTGAACGGCACGTTACTAAATGCGAATACCGCTCGGTGCCGTGGGAAAATTTATTATAAGCCGGACGGCGTTGCCAGATCCGGCGACAAAGGTGACAGCTAAGGATGGTAGGTGGGGTTGAACGATATTAATAAGTATTTATACACGATAAATTATGACTAACACATTTTCAAATAAATTAATTTAGTCTAGCTATAAATATTTTATCTAAAACAAAATTTTAAGGTATGAAATTTTAGAACTTATAGTTTAAATTACACATAAACATAATTTTTGTAAATGTTTATAATTTTGAAACTATTTATTGCATTTTAAATCTAAAATAATATACACACAACTAAAGTGACACAAAATGTAATTAACGTTATTATGCTTGCGAGGTTTTTGCTTTTATTTTAAAACCCGTTATTAAATAATAACATTTTTTTAATTTACAATCAAGCAACGGAGCTAAAGGAAATACAATTTTAAAACTAAAGGCTGTCTGTGACTCGAATAAAATTTTTATCCTTTTTCTTTTTCCTTATCACACAAAGAAAAGTGTTAACTTTAAATGGTCTTTGCTTTTATTTAGAAACCCGTGCTCGTACCTACTAAACAAACATAAATGAACAAAGCTGAATGTTTTTTTTTATTTAGCTGTATTTTAATGTTCCATATATGCATATAAATATTTTAATTAGCTACAAATAGTAATTTATTTTGAATTTAAAAACTTGAATGTTTTACAAATCTGAGATAGTTTAATTATTTTTATTTCAAATTCATGCGCACTGGGGACCAAAATATCGTGCTCGTGCGTGTTAGAGATGTGCCTCACGCACCCATCTCCAAGAGAACCAACCCCGAACCCGAGAAAAACAAGAAAATAATACACAATTGGCGACGGTGGTGCAGAGGTTCTCCGTGTGATCCGATCGAACGGATTTGGAGACTAGGCAACTAGACGGAGACCAGGGCGACTTGGCCAAATCCCCGTGCAGCGGGACTAATGGCCGGCGACATGTCCATCGGCTGTGCAGCGCTGAAGCGATCCAGCAAGCTGAGGTCCTGCACCAGTGCCGCCGACACGGACTCAATGCGGGTGCCCAGTGACCACAGGGGCAGCGAAAACGGGAACAGCCTGGTGAAGCCGCCTCCAATGCCGCCCCAGAATATGCGTGGCGGTCTGCGGGTCTACAAGATTGTCATCCTCGGCGACGGAGGCGTGGGAAAGTCAGGTGAGCTACCCGAAGAAACTGCCCAGTTATCACTGCGCACTTTTGATTGTGCCTGCGAAAAATCAATAAATTATCTCAATTTCTTTTACGCTTTGTTTTGGCCACCCCCCCGACGATAACCACCCACAACCCACCACCCACCATTCACCGCCCCCTGAAAACGACGACGACGATGAAACCCGAACAGCTGTCACCCTTCAGTTCGTGAGCCACAGTTTCCTGGACTACCACGACCCCACAATTGGTGAGTAAGGCGCGTGGGGCGATTGAGGACCTCCCTCCCTAAATGTGTACCGGTTTTTTATTCCGCCCCCCAGAGGACTCCTACCAGCAACAGGCGGTCATCGACAATGAGGCCGCCCTGCTCGACATCCTTGACACCGCCGGCCAGGTGGAGTTCACGGCCATGCGGGACCAATACATGCGTTGCGGCGAAGGTTTCATCATCTGTTACTCGGTCACCGACCGCCACAGCTTCCAGGAGGCCTCCGAGTACCGGAAACTGATCACCCGAGTGCGCCTGTCCGAGGACATTCCGCTGGTTCTGATCGCCAACAAGGTGGACCTGGAATCGCAGCGCCGCGTCACCACCGAGGAGGGCAAGAATTTGGCCAACCAGTTTGGATGCCCCTTCTTTGAGACCTCGGCCGCACTGCGTCACTACATCGACGAGGCGTTCTACACGCTGGTCCGCGAAATCCGACGCAAGGAGATGCAGAAGGCCCTGGGCACGGACTCCAACTCGGAGAAGATCCATACGGGTCGAAGGAGCCGCTGGTGGCGCATCCGATCCATCTTCGCTTTGGTGTTTCGGCGCAGGCGAAACCTCAACTAGGCCCAGGATGGCCAGGATTTCTTTGAACGAGTGCAATATTATTAACCACACAAGATACGAGTAACTTTTGTTCGCTATATACAAGCCGTGTTGTATATAGCACAACGCCCATCAAGATACAACCTACAAGAATTTACACCGATCGAGGAGGAAAACTAATTGTTACGGCCACAGTGCGTTTATTTATTATTTGTTACAAAACTATCTAAAGTACTTGTTGTTGGCCAGAGAGGATAGCGAGGCGATAGAGTATATCAATACGTTTAAGCACCGATCCAAAAGATACATATTAACAATGCACGTACATATGTTTATGTAGTAAATATTACTAACGTTGATTCCTAGACGAGAGCGATTAAGGAAGTGTGGCAATTGGCCAAAGCTCAAAAGCATTTAAATTCAGCAAGATCGAGTGAACTACTATCTGATAACTCTGAATCCTAGCCAGGAGATTAACCCAAAAGCCAGTTGCCAAGTGAGCAGAGCAGAGCTAAGCGGATTAGGAGAAGATTTTTAAACTTATGTATGTACGTATTTACCCAGAAGACACGCACATGACATGACGACACAAGCAACACATTTAACTAATCGAATAAATGTTGAATTTAATGTATACTAATATTATAAATCGATCAATCGACCTAAGTATGTAAAACGCGGGAACATTGCAAATAACGAAAGTTGAATGAGATCCAAACCCAAAATTTATAATTTAAGCCCGACAGCCGATGCATTTGTTGTTTAAGTTTGAGAAATGTTTATTGTTTATATTGTTAAGGACACGTGTTTACACCTAAGTTTATTTATTATTAGTTTAACCAAAATCTGTTGATTACTTTTTACACAAGCAGCCTCACATCACGTTCTCTAAGCATTCACCATGAGTTCCTCTCATCAATGTTAACTGCATCACCAGAAACGAAATACTGGCACGGCTTTAATTACTCTGTTTGTTACATGAACCCCAAACAGTTGGTCGGACTACCATAGTTACCTATAATTAATTGTTATTACAAATCCTTTCAAGTAACCGTTCGAGCCAACACATCGACTAACGAAAACAACAGCTTAACAGCAAAAAAGAGTAATCAAATGCGTGTAGACATATAAAAGGAGGAAAGCTTTCGCGGAAAGTCAAGCGATTAAAAGATACGTTTTAAGAAAAGTATTGGGAACTATATGTTCATTGCACTTTGCCATGTCCATGTCGTTTCGAAAACGGCATACCTGTTCGGGAAGCAAAGCCAATAATAGCGGATTGTAATACCTAATCGAAAGAAAACCAAAACATTTTGATTCATTATGTTATGTACATTTTAAATGTAAAAAAAAAACAAAAGCACAAAATAAACAAAAACAATCCCCTCAATAAAGATTTTTTTGGAACCCCCGTTAATGGTGTTAGTTTTTATTTCAGGGGGGTCATCTGAATATTTTGTATTAAACATCATAGCTCTTCGGATCCAGTATTATACCTTTTCCTTGCGCAATTATCTGAGATCTTTCAGGGAAAAATGGTTCCGCTTTTCCATGTGCCCTTCACTATTTTGATGTAAGTTCCCAATAGGCCGAGGTCAGATATCTGACTAGCTGACCTCGGATTATTATTTCAGAAGGCATTTACGTTTGCTCCCCAGCCAAATAAAACAGTGAGTTAAACCAAGAGTAGATCAAATGTACTGTTTATTCATAAGTATAATATAGTTTGGTTGTATCTGATGCATCTTCGAGTTTTTCAACTTCTGTGTGAGAATTACACGATTGACGGTACAAAATACAAAAAAGAGACATACACATATGTACTGTATAGTATAATTATATGTATATTCGTATTTTATAAAATCATAAAATACTCTTCATATAGTTTGGTTGTTTTGTAGTATCTTTTTTTTATGTTTTCCACTCGTTTTAATGCAAAGTACAAATATTAAAAACTCGCTTAATGCGCTCGAAATAGTTGTTTCACTTCATCAAAAATTTCTCCCTTCTAGCTTCTCCCACGCGAAAACTGAATGCATCTCATTTGTGGCTTACGTTTAGTTAAATAAACATTTATCGTTTTTGTTTTGTGTTTAGTTCGGTTCTTGTAATGTAGTTTCACTTGCATCTTCATCTATTGGCGGTCTGTCTGGTCTCTCAGTATCTGATAGATTTAAAGGGAACATAACTCTCATCTTCTTCACATCGCCTACGCTTGCCTTGGACCCCGGGGTCCAACTTTTAATTCCGATTGATTCCACTGATTATTCACCTGCCTCACTCATCCTCACATGCGACACACAATCTCATCTCATCTTATCCAAAGCCGGCTACACTCATCAACACTGATCACAAATCGAAAAAAAAGAACGTCTTACATCAAGGAGGGGTGGACAGAAACGGACACAACTTTTGAATATGTTTACATATATCGATATATTTTTGCTTGCAGTGGCTGACTGATCGATCTGCTCTGCCCTAGGGTTACAAATAATAATGCCATAGTTATTACTGTGTTTACTTCGGTTTATAACTACACTAGACTGTATATAAAATCAAATCCGCATTTGACATTTTACTTGATGCTGCCTTCCCTTCATCTTTCGCTGCTCCCTCCTCCGCCGATCTTGTGGCTCATGCTCTGATTCTGGTGTTGTTTCTGCTCATGTTGTTGCTGTTAGGTGTTGGGTGTTGGGTGGTGCAGCTTCGTGTATCCGATGTTGTGGTTCTTGTTGTTTTTGAGTGGTTTTTCAGCTCGTTATTGTTGTAAAAGGTGTGTTGTATGTGTTCGTGTGTGTGTTGTGTGTATGCTGTTGTTGTTGCTGTGTATGTGTGTGGTAAAGATTTTCATGTTGTTGATTTGCTCTTTTAGAGCAAAAGGCATCTGGTCTTCTTCCTCTTTTTGACTTGCAACGCGGCCCTAGTTGCCGTCTCGAAAACCTCCCGCACACCCTCCTTGGACTTGGCCGAGCACTCCAAATAGGCAAAGGCATTAATCTTCTCGGCCATGGCGCGACCCTCCTGCGGCTTCACCGGCTCCTGCTTCATTTTTGCTAGATCCTGTGAAAACGATTCTATTAACACTCCAATTTCAATGGGGGTCAACGGTGCGAATACTTACCCGAATTGTGTTGGGATCATTTCGCAAATCTTTCTTATTGCCTACCAAAATGATTGGAACATTTGGACAAAAGTGTTTGACCTGCAACGAACAATAATGATATTAGATAAAGTTTTATTATAGATAATGTAATAATTCTGTAGCCTGAAATTTAATCCTTCAGATACAAAATTGAGTTGCAAAAACCATACATCTATACTGGAACAACTCAGATATAAATAGGAGCGTTTTTAAGATTGTGTACTTCTAAGACTACTAAGTGTAGTTACTAATTCAAAAACTTAAGTCATGTATAGAACATTATTAGTGGCTAGAAACCACAAACAAAATTGTAGATTAGAAATAAGTGCCATGAACAACATTTTAATAACATGTTTTTGTTTCTTTTTTGTGTAAAATAATTTCTGAGCATACATAGTAACCAGGAGAAATCACGTTTTAGTTAATAAATACCAATCATGTACAGTAAGATGCATATTTCAAATTTCCAAACGACCTATTATTATTTCAAATAATTTAAACAAGATTTACTTCAAATGTTATGTTCCAACAATTACGTACATATCTTATCAATTTTGACTTGCTTACAGTTTTTATAATGACGTTAATTTGCAAAAACCACAAATGAATAAAAGTTTTCTTTGAGTTACAGAAGCTCCCCAAGTTATCTGTATTTGACAGAAGTACTCACCTCTGGGGTCCATTTTTCAGGAATATTTTCTAGCGAATCGGGTGAATCCACTGAGAAACACATCAGTATGACGTCAGTGTCGGGATAACTCAGCGGTCGTAGTCTGTCGTAGTCCTCCTGCCCGGCCGTATCCCACAGGGCCAGCTCCACCTGAAGAATGGAGATTGGAGGAGTATTATTATGAATGGGGATTGCAATTGCAGTTGTGTCATCATAGGATTTTGGGGCTTTGAGGGATGGGGAGTACGGGGTAAGACAACTTCAAACTGAAGATAGCGAGAGTACGAACTTGGTTATGAGCAAGGAACTTGGCGGAAATACCAAACGAATTAATCACATCGAAGCGAGGCGAAGTAGAATGACGTGAACGTGTGTATGTAAACGCTATCCAAACAGAAATACAAACAAAAACTGAAAACCCGCCATCGTATTGCGCAGCAAAAGGCAAACAGTGTTTATTTCAAAAAGCGCCAGAAAATATTGGGGATCCGAATGGAATATATAGCTATAGTCAAATCATGACTTAATGCCCCTTGGAAATCGCACATTACATTCGGGAGAGTGGGAGACGGAGAGAGTACAGGTAGGCAGGGAGAGAGTAAAAAAAATGAGTGAGAGAGCGGGGGGCGGCGCAACGCGTGAAACTGTATGTGCGCAACGGACTTGTATAAGACAAATACAAAATAAAAAGAAAAGAAAACGAGCGGAAGGAAGGGAGCAGTTCTACTGGTATAAGTGTGGCCAACTCTCTGTTTAGGTGTATGTGTGAGTGAGTGTGGGGAAATGTGGCCAAGTGTGACTTAATCACTGCTATCAAAAGTGGGGATTCTTCTGCCGAATAATCCAAATTTGCACCAACCAAAAGATCTAGTTTTTCCAGACACCTTTCTTTTGTTTGCGTATGTGGGAATCAGGCGATATTGACTCATATTTTTACAAGGGAATGAGAATGGAATAAAAAAGGAAAGATTGTAGGTGTGGGTGAAGTTGTGGGTGGCACAAACAAGAGAACAATAAACACACACCCATTGGAACACGAATACAATCGCAGACAGAAAGTGTAAAGAGGATACGCGCACTTGAAACCCGAATGAATTGAATGCACACACAAATTATAAAACGAGATCAGATGATTATCACTTCAGGGTTCTTCAGGGTGGGGTTTTCGGGGGAAGGGGTGGTCTTTGGGGGTTGGAAAAGCTTACCTGTTTGCCATCCACCTCGATGTCGGCCACATAGTTCTCGAACACGGTGGGCACATAGACCTCGGGGAACTGATCTTTGCTGAAGACAATCAGAAGGCAAGTTTTACCGCAGGCACCATCGCCGACAATTACCAATTTCTTGCGAATCGTCGTCATTGGAAGTTCTGCAAAAAGCAAAATCAAATTGTAGAAGATGCAATTGTGCAGTAGGGCCGAATCCGAATTCCCGTTCGCCGTTCAGTTCTGTTTAATTTGTTCGCGAAAACTGAGCAAACTGTTCAAAAATTATCAAAATGAAAAAGCCACACACAGGCACGGCACTCACACACACACACACACACACGCACGCTCGCTCTCTTTTGTAGCCCTCTCCCGCTCGCGCACACACTTAGTCATACTCGCGACTGGACGATCTAATAGTCAAAAGTGTGGGGTTCTTTCTTTCTGGCCATTGTCCATTGTCCGTTGGCCGAGTTTTCCCGTTTTCCTCGCTTTCTCGTTTTTCGCATTCGCATTTTCTTTTGGTCGCGTCATAGGGCCGCCCGCTTCTCCACCCCTCTCTCTCTCTGGCTCTCACACTCCGCTCCAGGAAACTCCTCGCCCCGTCCCGCTCTCGCTTTATTCCAAAAACATCTCATCATCCACTCGCGCTACATACATATGTGTGTGTGTCTGGCTGGGCGTGCGTGCATCGGTGTGCGTGCTGTGTGGAATTTTTTCACTGCTCTTCCACTTACAATTTATATTGGTGATTTCACAACACTCAGCACGAATTCGACACTTAATTTGCTTACAAAATGGCACAAATTTGTTGATTCTTATGCGTCTACCGTTTAGCTATATCGTATAAAAGTTAATGCAATTACAAAAATTCGAATTGAACTCGACGATTTTTTCCCATGCAAAATGACGATGAACAATGTTCATCCGTTTCATTTCTCGGTAGCGCGATGAACGTTCGATGACCAACCAACGCCTTCAAGCGCAGGGCTGTTATAGCGGTTATCGGCTGCGTTCATCGGTGGCATCTCTGCAGTGGCAACTCTGCAATTGGTCACACCACAGATCTGCTTCTTCTTCCACCTGCGGTCGCATGGCCCGGGAATTGTTACTTTAATTCTTGGCTATTCTGCGGAAAATGATAATTGGCAAGCTAAACTCGCAGATGCTGAAAGAAATGCAGCTTAGTTTCCAGCTCACCGAGGAGCGAGAACTGGCCTCCGGTCGCCGCAAGCCTGGAAAACCAGTGCACACACCTGTGGCATCCAAGCCAAAGGCGATTCCAAAGACTTTCAGTTCTCCCGCAGAGATTTCGGCACCCAAGAAACCAAACGTTGAGATGGAGACGACACCAAAATCCAAAGGAAAGGCCGCCCAAAAACGACCTGTTGCCCCTGAGGAATCAAAACTTCAGAGTTCACCGACCATAAAAAAGCCTAAAAAGGATGATACTTCTCCTGCAAAGAACTCCATAGTTAAATCCAAATCAATTGCTGCTCAAAAGGACAAAGTTGCCAAGGCCCCTCCTCTTACTACAGAAAAACAAATCGATTCCGGGCTTAAAAATCACAAAAAAGGCTCCAAGCAACAGGCTATAAAGGTTCCTAAGAAAAGTGGTAAGGCATATCAAACGTGTATATAAAACTTAAATAATTATAAATATTTTTTTCAATTAGATACAAATCCTGCGAAAGTAAACTCCACAACCAAAACAAAAGGTTTTAAAGCCACCAATGTGCAAGTTATATCTGACAAATCCAAAACTCCTCGAAAAGGAGGTGAAAGCAGAATAAAGTTCCCAAAAAACAGTCAAAAAGGTCAAAAATCAAAGGCGTGGGTCTTAGAAATCCCTAAAACAAATGGTATTGTATATTAAGTTAGTGTTAAGATTTAATTAAACCATTTACTTTAAAAGCAGGCTTTGAAGAATCCTTAGACGATGTTAATGGTTTGGACGCATTTGACATAGAGAATTATGATATGGATTCGATGAATTCAGAGGACGATTGGGCTGAAGAAGGTGATGATTGCATTGATATTGGTAATATACATTTTATACCGATCCAATGTCCTTAAAACTAAACCTTTATTCAACAGATTCGGAAGTGGACGAGCATTTTTTCAAAAAGCCAAAGATTTTCAAAGTCAATTCCAAAGGCGATCAGGGCAATATTCTTGACTTACCTGCTCCATTTGAGGAACCATTAGAACCCACCATTAGAACCCACTTATTGCAAGGTGATGACAAGGGGGTAGTGCGAAAGATTGAGGTCTTTGAGAATGCACTGGCTGAATTTGACAGCGACGATGAAGACTACGAACCACAAGAAAGCGACGATTTTGTGTCTGAAGAATTCGACAGCGAAGATTCAGATTCTTCTGATGATGATTTGGACAGCGAAGACTGCGACGACTTTGACAGTGATGAAGATTTTGACAGCGATGAAGATTTCGACAGTGATGATTTCGGCAGCGATATTTTCGACAGCGACGACCTTGATTCCACCTATGAACCACCTGATATCGATGGATTCTTTGATGATCAACCTTTGGGATTACAAAAAGAGCCGCTGATTATAGAAGAAATCTTTGATGATCCATCTGTTGATGAAAACCAACAAGAGCTGGTTAGGTACCAATCTAAGGCAAAAGAGATGGTTAAAGAGTCACCAGTAGTGGAGGAGATTGTAAAAGATTCAACCATAGTGAATCAGATTGTAGAAGATTCCACAGTAGTAGAGGAGATTGTAGAAGAATCAACCGTAGGGGATGAGATCGTAGAAGAATCTATTAATGAGGTGTCTTGTAATACAATAGAAGAGCCTGAAGTACCTATGGAAATCGAAGATAATGCTGACAATGTAACACCCGACAAGGAGCCAGTTTCCCAACCTAGTGAGACACCATTCTATAGGAATCCTCAAACTAATCCCACTGAGCACAGCGTCTTCGAGAACAGTCTGAAGAGCAACCATGTGCTGGCCGTGATTAAAGAAGACCTCGAGCTGTATGGCACACTGGTGCTCACCCTGCTAAGTGGCCAGTTATCAGTGAATGGCTACAAAGCTCGCAAGCAGGAGCCACTCACCATTTACTCTCCGAAAGGCCTCAACTGGGTTGCCATCTCACCCAGTAAGACCAAAAAACCAGCCAAAGATGAAGTGAATTGGGAGGAACTGAACAAGAATTTTAGCCGCGCCCAGCTGGACAGGATTCAGGGCAGCTTTCAGAAACAGACAAATGCAATAGTGCTGTTGCAGCAAAACACTGGAGCCCAGCGACTCGTCGAGAACTTTGGCAAGCACATGGCGCAGAACTTGTTCCCACTAATAAACTCCTCCAATCGTCCGTTCCACCAAAGTGAGTCCTTGCTGCACTGCCTTATTCAATCCTCCGACCTGAGTCGCACTCTGCAGGTGCCGCAGGTGTGGAATAAGCTGAAACTGCAGGCCACTAGTCGAATATTGATAGCAGGTGGTAAGGGCGTTGGAAAGTCCAGTTTGCTGCGCTACCTCATCAACCGAAATCTGGGCCAGTTTCCATCTCTCCTGCTCATCGATTTGGACATTGGCCAGCCGGAAATCTTTGTGCCCCAGACGGTTTCGTGCACCCTTATTGATGAGCCTCTTTTAGGGCCAGGATTCCTGTTTAACAAGCAACCAGATCATGCTTATGTCGTGGGTCACACCAACATAGTCTTGTGCGCAGAGCAGTATGCGCGAGCTGTCATTCAGCTGATTCAGAACGTCCAGAAGGATGCCAAATATGCGAACATTCCCTGGCTGATCAACACCATGGGTTATAATAAAGGATTTGGCACAGAACTGATGGCCCTGCTGGTGGATCGCATTCGTCCCACGGACCTCGTGCAGATTGCCAGTCCAGTTCCGATTAATAACTTCGATTCTCCACTCGAGTGGAGCAGTCTGTCGCAGTTGAAACCCATTATCTACACGTCGGATGAGTTTAGAGTGAAGGATATTGCCAAGTACACGCTCCACAAGTTGCTCAGTGCGGTGCCTCCAAAAGAACGAGGAACTTGGAGCCTGAGTGCCAAGGATATGCGCTACTCCAACCTTTTGACCCGCCTCAGTTCGTGCCTCACGGGAAATGCGAAATCTCTCACAGACTGCCAGCCACTTGGAGTGTCCCTGGAATCCCTGAAGATCCTCCATTCCACCAGCGAGGATTACTCAAGTGAGGAACTAATCCATGGCATGGAGGGCAATGTGGTCTATCTGTGTCATCAGGGAGCAGGTCTGCCTCAGTGTTTGGGAATAGGTTCGTATATATCAAGGGTGTTTTCTGGAACAACTGATAAATGATTTCAATCTTTAGGAGTGGTTCGTGCAATCGACTATGAACGGAAGCAGTTGTTCCTGGTGCCGGCAATGCCTTTGCAAAGGATGTCCCTGGTGAATTGCCTCATCCTGGGCGGAGAACTAACCCTTCCGCAGGGCTACTTCAAGGATCAGGGCCAGGGGGTGGCCAGCAGTGTGCCCTTCGTGTTCATCCTCGACGACTCGAAATCCTCGAAGAGCATTCAGCAGATCTACCATCGAACGCCAGCCTTTCTGGGCGTGCCAGTCAATCAAAGGAACTGAAACTAAACACCGGACCAATTGTGTATATAAGAAGCATTTGTAAATAAAGTGAGGTTTATTAACGAAAGGCTAGTGGGATAGATTATGGCGGCCCTTGAGTATCCTGGCCATCAGCACGCGTCGTCCTTCGGGCGTGGACATTCTCTTGTCCCAGCCGTGGACATTGATTCTCTTCACCTCCATGGGTTTCGGGAAATGGCAGCGAACTTTTGGTTTCAGCACTGCCCGATTAAAAGCATGCTTTTCCCGTACGATGATAGATTGCGCGGTGTTGACAACTGCCAGGCAGGTCCTGTGGAAGCATAAATGGTCATTGTTTTATTCAAAATATATTGTTTATGTGTAATTTACCTCTGGATCATTGATTGCAGCATGTTAAGTAATTTCTAGCCAGTGTGACCGCCCCTCGAACAGAAAATACCAGTTGAACAGCCGCTCAAGAAATTTGGCGTTGCCAGACCAAAGAGTTTTAAGACTCCACTCTCTATAAAGAAATTTAAACGAGTGATAAAATCTAAAAGTAATAATAAATAAAAAGCTGGAGAAACTAGAATAATCTGTTTTTTATTTTTAAATAAGATTAGTATAGCTTAATTGAGAAATATATTTTTAATATTAATATATAGATCACAGAAGGAATTATTTTTCAAGTTCAGTTTATTTTTCAAGCTTATGAAACATGGCGAATTAAGCTATATACATAATATATTTCCTAATTCAAATTCCAATATCTAAAAACTATCGAATTGATTTTATACCATCGCTAGGTATCCGCTAGGTTGTTGCAGCGCAGCTGATGCTCGTGACAGATATATTTTTCGCTGCGGATTATTTCCTTACCTCAATCGTGGTCACACTACTTAGCCAACAACAACTCCGTGCCGTACGGCTGCGTTTGTTTCTGCTCCCATTCAGCTGCAAAAAAGTGAAAAGCGTTCGGAAAACAAGCAGCATGTGAAACGCACTTGCTTCACGCATCTAAATCTCGAAAGAAAAGCCAAAATAAGTGCGTGAAAATCGCGAGTGAATCGAAAAAAGATAAAATAAAAAAGCGCTGCAAGCGAAGAGAAACATTGCTGCAGTTGTGTGTGTGTGTGAGTGTGTGCGTGCGAGTGTCGCTCTCTGGACGCAATTCCTATTTTGGCCAAAAGGAAGGGAAGTGGGGCAAGAGAATCCCGACTCCCGAATCCGAATCAGGAGCATCAGAAATAGCGCAGCGAGGTGAGTGCAACTGCAACTGCAAATGCAGCATGCAATTTAGAGCAGAAAATAAAACAGCACCAATTAGCCCTGTCTGCAGCTAGCCGAAAAAAACGGCAAAAAATACAACAAGAAAATCGATTTTCCTGAACTTACAATTTTCTTCGCCTCACTGGGTAAAAATCGGGGGGCGAAATGGAGCTTGGGGAGCCGGCTGCGGCACCATAAAGTATACATAAATTGAATTTCGAAACACGGAAGCGAAATGGCTGCACTGAGAGAAAAACTTATTTCAATTCGTATGATGTAGTTCTGTTAAATCTTCTGATCTTTTGGTTACCATAGGAAAATGCCTTGCTACCATATACCATCTACCATATTAAACTTGTTTTAACAACTGAACTCTGATTAAAAAGATTTTTATTATAATATATAACATTTGACCTGCGCATTTCATTTAAATTTCGAGCTGAATTTTTGTTCTGTGTGTGGAAAAGGGAGAGGGGTCCACAAAATGGGAGGCTGCACACGGTTGTTGTTCTTGTTTTGTTTGCTGGTGTTGATGATGGAAATACATGCCTTTGTATGTGTCTGTTTTCCAGAGAGGGATATCAAAAAATTGAAAATTCTGACCAGGGACCCCCGACTTTTGGGCCAGTTGTCATGGCCACCGCATTTAACAAATGATTTTAGCGGCCACTTTTTCAGGATGCGAATGGAGCAGCTGTCACTCTCCACTTCTTCTCCCTACCCTTTCTCCTCCTCCTGTTTTCTGACTTCATCTGTCTGCCCCTTTCTATCTTTCACTCTCCCCGTGTTCTTTTATGTGTGCGTGTTTTGATGACGGCACTCAGTTTCCGCCCGCACTGTGATTTTCGGTCATACACGGCACCAATATTCCAGGACAGTAGAACCTGGTCCGAAAGGACCAAATAAAGACGAAGTTCAGTTACAAAGGGTTAAAGGGTTTTTATTAGCAAAGAACACAAACTTCTTACAAAATGTTAAGGGCACAAAATTGCCATTACTTTTTAGATCAAGAGTGCCAGCTTGACTGCGCACTTTTCCATGAATGGAAAAAATGGAAACATTGCTTCGCCTACTTAAATAATTAGATCAACAGTTTAAGATAAGATTATGTGCTTTAAAAAGTCAAATTTTGCTACCAAAACAAATGTGCTTTGTTTGCACATATTGGTTTAAGTAAATAACTAATTTTTCATCATCACGTAAAATAGATTACTTGCAAAACCATTCGCTTTAATATATTCCGTAAAAGTTAAAATTAAGTATATTTTAACGTTCCTAACTCAAGAATGTTTTCCAAATGCCTTAACAAAATTCCTATTGAGCCACTGCTTTTCCTACTATTGATGTTTTCCCTAGCCAGGACTCACTGTAGAAAATCCCCGGCATTACCACTCAGTTTTTGGCACTCTTTTGCGGATGCTGCGTACGCAAAAAGGGGACGACGGCTGTTCTAAGAGCACTAGATGTTTCCTTTTCGCTTCCGCCTGCACCCCTAAATTTAGTGACCCTGTGTCTGTGTTTGCTTAGTCAGTTCGCATGTGTGTGTGTGTGGGCCAACAAAATTACTTTTATGAGCGCTTAGCATAGGTTGTCCCCATTCCTCTTTTCCCTTCTCTCCACCAGTTAGTTTTATTTTGATGCGTTTTTAATCAGATTGCGTCAATTTGTTGCTGGAATAACGATGAGGGCGGTCGTTTAAGGGGGAGGTAGTGGGTGGAGTGGTATTAAGGTCCGTTATTTGGGAGTGAGTATATGTTTTTCCGGGTTGCGTGTCAAGTGCAGACCCTTTTTCGCCCGCTGTTTCCACTAATTATAAGAATGTCTGTTTCTGCCTCGCATCTGGAAGTCGTCAGTCTTCCAGTCCAGTAGTCTGCGTCCTCTCACTCACTACAAAGTGAAGCTTAAATTTTTCAAATGGCTTTCTTTGTCGCACCCACACGCAACATGCCATGATCAATGCCTTTAGGCGATAGCATTTGCACAGAAAAAAACCTTATATGATACATCCAAAATTATTAGTTTATTAAATTCGTTCTATAATATATATGTAGATTTAAAAATCATATTTATCAAATTAAAAAGAAAATTTGATGAGTCAGATGCACTGCGCTCTTACCTGTCATGCTATCCAATGTGAACAAGATAAATACTCTAGTTAAGATTAACAAGATAACAAAAAGGCAAGAAATATTGTAAATGTTATGATTATTTATTAAACTGAAAATTTGCTTTGCTAGCAAGGGTAGATTCTTGACGTTTTAAAATTTAATTTTCATGTCACCTCGATTTTACATTACTTGCATACCGAAATTTTGAATTCTGTAAAGTAGGGTATTAAAACTTTGTTGCTTGTCTCTCTATTTTGGTGGCTCTTCTTTTTGCTCTGCGCTTCTCCGTGGCCCGTTAAAGTACAAAAATACGCTTGGGCCAGGCCAGCGGGAATACAAGTATGAGTATCGTATCTATCATGGCGGCAGCTGTCCAATTCTCCAACCAGCCGGCACTGGATCGCTGTGGTTGTTGTTGTTTTCGTTGTTTGGTTGTATCTGTTGTCGTCTTCATCAACGCCTTTTTTGTATGTGAGAGTGAGTAAGTTCCACAACGTTTGTGCGTGTGTTGCTGGTTTGAACTTTACGGCACTGCGTTGTTTTGTGTTTGTTTTTAGCATTTGCTTATGTTGTTGTTTTTTTATTATTTTTGTTGTTGTTGCTCTTATACTGTAAGCAGACACAATTTAACGAAACATCGGCGACAGCAGGCAGAAATACAACAGACGGCATCATTATGCATGCAAGAGATCTTCGAGCGCATTTGATCGCCAACTCCGCACATGACTCTCAAGAGAAACAACAACAACAACAGCAACAACAAATGTTGCTGCAACTCCAACGCCGCCGCCGCCGCCATTTGGCCAAAATGGCGGATGCCTTGCCTTCCTGCCCCGCCCCCCACCTGCCCCCTTTTCGGCCCTGCCCAAGACCTCAAGTCCCCAAGCATCAAGTATTAGTACCAGACATTGGCCCCACGCAAAAATATTTTTGCTGTGACTCCGCAACTCTCTGCACTGCAAATAAAATCTTACCAAAATTGTAAATGAATTTAAATGTTTTTATTTGTCATGCTTTTACAAATTAAATTAATTGGAATAAATTCTTAAACAAACGGAATCAAAAATATTCGAATATTGAATAAAAAACGAAGTTAAAAAAGAACAGATATTAAACGGAATTTTGGTTGTATTTTTAACGGTGCGTAAGGCATCTGTTTCATTTCCTGAAAGCTTTGGCCGCTATAAATTTACAGAAAGCTGACAAAATACCCTCAAATTTCAAATTGAAATCATTTCCTAGTTTAAGCAATGACTCGAAGTATTGAAAAATGTATTTATTAAGATATAGCAATAGGAAAACCTAAATTAAATCAAGGTTTTAGTAAAAGTTAAAAACAGGAAAAAAAAAGTTTTAAAACGGCTGAAACCCGGAAATGTTAATTGTATGTCTTTACAAAAAAAAAACCAAAGGTTTCAACACCCTTAAAAATCGAAGTTTTTCCTCAGTGTGGTGCAGTGTACTGGGGAGTGGAGCATTGCCCCGTACCTCTGGCTGCTCCCTTGGTACTCCTCCACCTCCACCTCCATTCTTCATACTTTGACTTCTGGGAACTTCTCCAGTTTCGCCCAAGCGATAATTGCCGCGTGATTTCTAATCAAATTACATTTGACTACAATTACTGCGACTTTGTTCGCATCTAGTTGTTGTCCAATTTAGCCGGCGTTTTGTCATGGATTGTTTGTCTTAATTGGAAATCGGATTGCAATCGCTCATACCATCGCTTGCAGCCTACAAAACGAACCCACTTCAATTATGCATATCACCAAATTGGTCTTCATCATCGTCATACCCTAATTACACCCAATTAAACTCTATGAATTACCGATAAATACATATATATATATATACATATGGGCGCATCTGTGTCACCGGCTGCAACTGCCATGGCAACCTCCTTTTACTGCCCCCCAGTGCATCGTTTTGGCTCCACTCACGTAGCTGGGATTTCGAATCGGCTTAACACCTTTTTTGGGCCCACTTTCCACGGATCATTGGGCTCTTGGGCAATGCGCCGGAAATTGGGTTACACCTCAGTGCCTCGGGCACCTTAATGATTTTCTCGTTTTCCAGCTTACTTATCGGATATGCATATCAGCCGACTAACCGTAAGAGTCTTATCATATCTTGTGGTT